ATATGCCTTCGTTCGTCATGCCTAATAATAGTGACAATATCCAATAAAATGACTGAGAGGAGGGCATGTGATGTCATCCGTGTGAACGAAAGAATATTCGTTCCTTCGTTCGGTTTTGATATTTGTTTCACCACTAGTATTTTGATTAGAAAACATATGTCACAGTGAGACTACGATGTGTTATACTCCGAGCCAAAATTTCATGGCTCTGCGATGACCAGAAGCGCCATACCAAGCAGGTGAGTTTTTGACATGTTGCTTCGCACTGCGACTTGAGTTTTACGACTTTCGAAAAATCGACTTCTTGTTGCAGGTAAACAGCGGCTCGCCTCTCGCCAATAAAGCACCGGATACCAATCAAAACTAATGGAAGCACACACAAGACTTATTGTTACTCTGTACTGGCCGTCGTGGAGCGATAGCAATTACCTAATTTCAGACCCAGAGTGAATTTGACGTGCACTCTAAAACCTGTCCGGTTTGGAGCCACCTCTGATTTGAAGCAAAAAATTGGGGAACTTGGAGGCAATGGGTCAATACAAAGGAGTGGCTCAGTTCGATTGACTCTGGCCTCAGAGCAAACTACAACATGCCAGTTTCCTTCCACAAACATATTTCGAGTGAACAATCAACGCTGATGATCGGTTTGGGTCTATACAAATTCGGCTGTCAAGCCGTTCCAGTATCGAACCGTCGCCTCTACATGGTGTGTGTGTGTGTGTGTGTGTGTGTGTGTGTGTGTGTGTGTGTGTGTGTGTGTGTGTGTGTGTGTGTGTGTGTGTGTGTGTGTGTGTGTGTGTGTGTGTGTGTGTGTGTGTGTGTGTGTGTGGTGTGTGTCTGTGTCTGTACGTGTGGTGTGGTGTGTGTGTGGGGGGGGGGGGGGGGGGTGTACGTGTGTAGATGCGTGCGTGTGTGTGTGGGTGGCGGTGGTGAGTGGATCGGGAATAAAAAATTTAAAAACCCTGTCGATAAGAGTTGGACTGCTGCTGCTGCTCTCTTCTTTTGTACTGCACAGCAATTGTTCAGTGACTCTAGCCTAGACACCAACCTCGATTTCAACATACCACTGGATGATCCATTTGGGAAGAACTACTTTGACAACGACGACACAGCCAGTTCCTCGCCAGGATCAGCCCATGGCTAGGTGGGTGGACTTTCTTTGGTGCCTGCATTGTATGTGGCAGCGCTGAAAGCTGTCTCCGTTTCCTCTCCCCACTATCTACGCTTGTATCTGCCTGTCTGTATGTCTATCTACACTGTACGGTGCTGCTCAATGAAATCCAGTCGCGCCGCTCAAGTACGCGCCGGGCGTTGCGCAGCCCTACTAGGCCTGCGAACACTGCGCTGCGAAAAGATGCAAGGCGCAAACTTGAGTGACGCGACTGGATTTCATTGAACAGTACTGTACCTATCTATGTCTGTCTGTCTGTCTTCCTATATCTATATACCTATCTATCTCTCTGTCTCTCTATCTAACTTCAATCAACCTTGTCATTTACAACCCTGGGTATAATTACAACTCGCGTATAAAGACGCTATCTTCACACCTAGTACAAGTACCTATTTGACTGGGTACTTTCAACCTCTCGAATAGCAACAACTCAGCACTTGTCTCATGCCTCATTACATGCCCGATTGAGGGTTGTTATTCGCAAGGTTGACTCTATCCATCTGATATCAGTGACTGATTCTCATTCTGTCCTTGCGTCAGGCACATCGTTGCTTACATTGTGATGAGTCAACACACCCCGGGGATGCGCTTAGACTGCGTTAACATGTGCATTACGTTTCGTGTTTTCTTTCTGTTGTCGGTTGTACTGTGTAGCACGCATACCCCGTACGATTGCTGCAATCCGTTCCAATATCAATGCCCCACCCAGCTGTTGCATGCGTTTACATCAAGAGCAGCTAGAACACAAAGACGACGGGCAGTGAGTTTGCGGCCAACGCCCGGGTACGTTGGACTCCGCGTTGTGAGCGTGTGTTGCCATGGTAACAGCAGACCTGTCACAACTCAGCATGAAATAACCGCATACAACTCTAGCAAAAAGAACTGTTCCTGCCCCTCTTGTCACAGGTTGAATCAGCCTCTCAGTTTTAAAAACTCCTTTTTAGACGGACACAGAGAGAGAACAAGGCTCTTGCGTCGTGTCGGGACGTAGTCACCATGTCTCCATGCTGTGTTGTGTAGTTGGTAGATCGTAATTGACACGAACACAAGCAGGGTAGAAGATGTTTTCTACCGGGCAAACAGCCTTCAATGTACATAGTTAGAGCTGCCCGTATGAATCGATCTTGATTGATGGTGCATGCATGCTGCTTGATGTGGGATCGTATAACCCAGAGTCTTTGACGCTTCGATCTTTAAGTTCTTTTTCTTTTCTTTTTATTATCATATCAGACAGTCGTATTATAAACTGGCATACGCGTGCTACTTGTACTTTTAGTCTCGTTTTGTTATGTTGTTTAGTCTTAAACTTTGGTTCTCTTTGTGGCAGTACTTTCTTATTCTTTGTTTCTAGCTGGTCCTCTAGTCTTGTTCATTGTTCCTGATCACTGATATAACCAAACACCTAGCCAGTCACTTCAGTGGCGGTCTCTTGGCAGACTCGAGTTGCCGTGTTGCCACGCTGCAACTGAGGCGAGCGTACAAGCAGAGGGGGGGGGGGGGGGGGGGGGCATGGCGGCAAGCGTTCAGTTTGTATGTGGTCGGTACGAGGTCGTACTAACACAGTTATTTATGTGCGAAGGAGGCAAGAGCTTGCCTGCATGGTTGTGTGTCAAACGTATAATGCATGCATGCATATGGTGGATTGTTCCTGTAAGTTACTCTAATTTCAGAAATTTTCGGTATGAGGGCAACAGGCTAGGTTAGGTGAACAGAAATTTTCGGTACAGAGAAGCAGGTCCCTATTGTAGTATGTGTGTTAGTGTTTGTTCGGTGTATTGAAATTTTAGGTGTGAAACAGACGCACCGAAAGTACCGAAAATTTGTGAAATTACAGTAGTTGTCACCAACATAACCAGCTATGTTAGACTCATGCATCACATACACCTGCTGGGCCAGGTTTTATAATTTTAAAAAGGAGATAGTAAACAACTAAACATGCAGCTACCACTTCACAAGGCTTGAAAGTAATGACATCATGCAATACTGTCAAGCAACCACTTCTTGATCCGTTCTGCCCTGGCGAAGTACGAGTAGTACGCGGTGAGTGGCCTCTCGTGCCGTGCGCACACGTGGGTGCGACTTTTTGCCGGCCCCGAAGGCGAAGCTACCAGGAGGGTCCAGTCACTATTACCGGCGGATGTGTCCACCAGGGAGTCAGAAAATAGCTTTTACGACTCCCAGGTGTCCATACGTGTACATAAAGCGGATGCAAATACATGTAAAGGAGAACAAGGCTTGAAAGTGATGACGTCAAAACGGCCAGGGAGTAGTAAGTTGACATCAGATTTCTATTTTTGGATCCACTAAGGTGTGACTTTGCTATTGCCTAAGTATGTGGGTGCATAGCAACCCACTCATGTCGCATGCAGGTGTGACTTTTATTTTGCCACCAGTTGTAACCCCGCCCCCAGTAGCCAAATCAGTCAGTTTCACTGGCTACATCACCATGCTGGGGGTAAGACCGCTTGAAATGTGCTTGGATCCATACAAAAACTGGATCCAAGTGGATCCAGTTTTTGAATCTTTGAAATTGTTGCTATGCTGTGACGTAGCACTTTCAAGCCCTATTGGGACTCAACTTTCACACTGTATGCGACCATCAGGTAAAAGCCATTCTTATTATTTTTATTTCCGCCTGATGATCGCGTAAGCGTGAGAGCCTCGTTCCACCCTATACATGTACTGACAGCAAGTGAACAGAGAACTAACGTTACCCCACGCGGCCCACGGGCACAGTGCGACACACAACGTCGGCATCTTGATGTTACGGGGCACACACGTGTGCACGCATGGTGATTTCTGATGAGTGGAGATGTTAGTGAGCTAATGAAAACGCTCTTACTACGCCACTCAGGCTGGGGCATGTGTATCACAGCACCGAAGAGGAGAGAGAGCATGAAATAAAAGGGATAGGATCAGCGACGGCCTGGCAGGTGTACGAGTACATTCCCCCTACCAGAACTTTAAAAAGACTCAGGTGAGACGACACAATGAGTGCGAGGACAAGCAACGGGAACAGTGGAACATAACAGGAACGCTCACTCGTACTAGTGGAGTAAAAAGAAAATATGCCAAAAGAAATGCGAGGATATCTGCACACACAGCCACACACGCATGCGCATCCTGCGTTCAGCAAAGCCAGTAGGTCTCCCGCCAAGTGATAGGACTGTAAAAATATATACTTTAAAAAAAAGGACCAAACAAAACAACGCAAACCCTAATGACCAGCTCACACATGTGCTTGAGAAGGGGAAGGGAGCCACACTACTCTACACACACAGTACAGAGTGCAAGAAAGCCAATTGGTTGGGACAAGTATTGCAACTTTCCCAAATCAAAGAACATCTGGGATCGCAAGGATATGCCATATGAGAATCAGCTTCCAGAAGCAAGCCTGTCCATTCGATTTACAGCAGCACTTCAGCTACTTCCCACCACCACCACCAGCAGCAATAAATGGGTGCAGACACCGTTCACATGATTGTCACGCTTAGCACCGACCCGCGGTGCTGCGCACGCCTGCTCGGCCGCTGCCTGCTGCTACGTTTGCTTCATGTAGGCTTTGAACAGCTCCTTGGAGTGGCGCTTGGTCTTCTCCTGCTCCAGATAAAACAGGTAGTCCTTGAGACCGATGCGGCGCTGTCGTGTACGTAGCTACAGCACAGCACACACACACACACACGTTCAACACATGAAGAAAAGAGCAGGGCGAGCAATGAGAGGATACAGCTAGAGCCCTGCCAATGGCATGCAGGTAGGTAAGACGGCACACATGCCACACATGGCAATACACAGCAAGGCCGAACCCATCCCGAGTTATGAATACTAGCCCGGGAGCAAGTACCCAGGAAAGGGTCCAGCATTCAGAATTTACTCGGCGGGAGGACTTTCCGACTAGGTGAGTTCCATGTGAGCCATTTTGGGAAAGACAAAGTGCCACAGGGTGTGCATGCCTACTGCACAACTGTGTGGTGGGCAGACTTTTCAGGTGCAGAGTGTGAGCAGTAGCGGTGGAAGCAGGCCATACCGTAGCCTTCACACAGCCACATACAGTAAAACCTGTCAAGGCGACCACCTGTCCCAGAAGACCACTGCAGCCAGGACCAAGGGACGCTATTTCCCGTCAAATGGCACTGGATAAGGAGACCACCTGGTTACAAAGACCACACTTTGAAAGTCCCTCGAGCGGTCGTCTTAGACAGGCTTCACTGTAATTATAATATGGCGGATGCACATCCTCACCTCACAAGCTAGCGACCAAAAAGCTAGTCCGGCCATGGCCCGAGCAACCGGATCGGTTCCGCTGGGCCTGGTAAGGTCGCCTTACTTCAACCCACACATCGGTCAAGGGACTCCCAACATCATACGTACACCCACGCAACAGTAGGATGAAACTGGAACCAGACTTCATCATTTTACTACTGCTTTCATAGGGGATGACATGCCACTTTAAAGCCCTGCAATTTCAAGTCCAGTTCTAGATGTGCTGTACTATACAGTCATGCACGTTTCTTGGGCAATGTACCCTGGCCTCTATTTCACCTGTTGCAAGACCAGTTTCAGATTGGCTTATCAATCAAAACTAGGACTAGACTAGGGCTACGACTGGCTTACTTGACTTGCGTATGGCTGCGATGCCGCGACGCCCGGGGCTCCACTAGCAGCTTCTGTCGACGCGGTCAGTTCCTGAACAGGGTTGGAGAGTCGACATGCCATCAGCATGGTGTAATCACAGTGCACACTCAGCAGTCAAAACAACAGGAGAGACCCCACAAGACGAGGTGAAACCAGCTGCTGTTTACCGGTAAGGCCCAATACAGATATTTTAAAAAGAAGGAAAAGAAGACAAACCAGCAGATGAAGAGGCAGTGTATTTCAACACATCATCACCATCATCTGCGTTGCCGAAAAAAATAATAGTAAAATAAAATAATAAAATAATAAACGGCATTATGCAGCTGTGTAAGCAGTAGATGCACAGTGTGACTGCCAGGCATCTCTATCAAATGCCAACTGGCAATTCAACACAGTGGAATGTTAAGAGCCACCACACTACCTAAATACCAACCTGCCTAAGAAAGCTGCCTTCACAACTAATAACAATGCATTCAAGGTGCAGCTACCCCATGCTCTCCCTTCAGTGTAATCCGGGAAAACCACTTTCAGAGCAAGCATGGCTTGACTTAATAGCGACACCTACGTGTAAGCAAGTGGGCACGGTAGATATTGTACATACCTCGTCTGCTTTCCGTTTCCTACGAGGACCGATGGCAGCCAGAGCAGCCAAGTTAGCGGCGTTTTTACGCATCAGCTCATCTTCTTCGTGCTGAACCTGCACAGTCCAGTAGAGCAAGCCATACACAAAAAAAACAACAATTACAAAACAATATTCAGCACAACACCAGCATAACTACTGCCGTGGACATTGAAATCCGATGGGATGACCGGGGCCGGCGCCCTTACTGCTTTTAGCGCGCACATGGACTGTAGTTCACGTACACAGTGCAAACATGGACCAGTAGTGCTCGCGGCTGCAAGGCAGGCGCCCCGTGGCTGCTAGACCTCTCCACGGATCTCAATGTCCGCGGCAGTACATAATTGTATGTAGATAAACAGTCACAAAGACACCGATGCTACATCTGCAGGTGCCCTAACAGACAGAAACCGCAAGAAGCGTGCGAAGGGATGCTAAAGGTTGAGGGCAAGGGGGACAGAAAATCTCAACAATTCCGAGAAGACATCACATATGTGTCATAATGGTAGATACATGTTGATTGGTTGGTATATTTTATTTTACTTCGCCAGAATGAACAGGCACTGCTGCCTTCTTGCCTGGACAAGGGGATTATCCAAGCTCTCACAAAAAGACTAAGAACATGTACTAAGATATTGGTGGAAGTGGGCTAGCACCGAAAGCAAGTGTTTCCCAATTGGGCAAGTTAGGATACAGTGACACCTGTGTAAGCCGACCGCTGAAGGGACCTTCAGAATGTGGCCTCCACGTACAGGTGGTCGCCGTGACAGGTTTGACTGCAGTACTGATCACCGCTGCAGTGCAGTACAACGACACCTACCTGCCGGGCTTTTTCTTTCAGCAGCGCCGCCTCGGGATCGTCCGGTCTCGCTCGACTCTGCAGCACGGCATAGCGGAACACAAACAGATAGCTACAGCAACAGCAGCCAAAAATCTGCCGGGGAGAAAACAAGTGGTTGATAACCCGGCAGCAATGAAGTACGAGCACGAGTCACTGGTTAACAGCAGTACAGTGACACAATTGAAACAAAGTCAAACAGGCCGGAACTCTCAGGGCGCGTTTGGTTGGTACGACCTAGAACAGGATTCGCCAGAACAGCGCGTTCGGTTGGGACTGCACCTGTTCTGGGTCGGCCAGAACATGTTCTGCTTGCTCCGGCCTCGAGGCTGGAGCAGACCGAGCAGTTTCACTTTCTTACAGTGAAACCTGGCGGGAACATCGATTTTGGTCCCAAATGATCACGTGCATACGCTTTTGGGTTGGACTCGTTGTACCGTACACAGTGACCATGGTGACACATACACATTTTGAAGAATGCACCAAGTTCGGCATATTTTTCACAAAAATGTGTTCCGTTTCTGGAGTACCGCTTGGTTGGCATGAGGCTGCTCCATGTGCACCAGCTGTTCGATCCTGTTCTAGATCATACCAACCAAACGCACCCTCAGTCTCCACAAGACAGCACCAGTGACCACCAGTTCAGAGAAACACAACTCACAAAAAAAGAAATGAACACCCAAATGGTGTGATGCTATGCACATTCATGGCATCATGACCAAACATAAAGCAATGGCAGTGGACACACAGGAGCAAAAACACTACAAAGCCAAGAACTTACTTTCGCCGCTTTCAGGAGCATCTCGCGCTGCTGTTCTTGCCGCTTTTTCGTGTTATGCCGATCGACTTCTTCAAGGAATCGCAACTGCCCTCTAGCCTGCGTTGTGATTTCCACCTGGCTATCCTCCTGAATCGGCACGCAGAATTGCATACAAAATTACACAATGGATAGCAGCAAGGCCATGGCAAACAAGCATGCAGGGCTGTTATGTCAAGCTCAACACTCCACTACAATAATTCATTTGTAATTACTTGTAAAGCATACAGGCAACAACTACAAACTCATGTTCTTTCTTCATACTTGTAAAAAGAAGCCCTCGTGGTCTTCTCTTAACATAATTAAAAGACCCTCCTTTTTGTTGTTGGAAAAGGACCCATACACACAAACACACACACACACACACACCTTGTAGTGCTCCGCTCGATGCTGGTTGATCACAGTGAGCTTCTCGAGTGTGTCTCGTAACCGAGCCTGAGAGAAACAACAACACAGGGTATGCGCATGTACACATGAACGGCAGTATCACCGCAAGAAGCCAACGCAAGCCAGGCAAAGTGACACACAGAAGAAGCATAGCGGGGTTAGAAAGGTGCCCAGTAGACGGGAAGCCCGGATTAAAAGAGTTTTAATGCACTGATACTGAGTAACGGCAAGTGTGCAAGATAGGGTGGTAGTGACGGGAGTTCTGGGAAAGCGCTGTTTTACACGACCATAATTATGAAGAAGGTGGCTGCTCCTGACCATGGAAGCAGTGTTTTCTGCAACGTGACTTGATTGATTCATTCCTGCCGTCTAAAGCACACGGGGAGCAGGTGCGGCCACCGTCTTCAGATATTTATACTGCAACATCCTAGTTCATGTCTACACAAGCATGATAACTAGCTAAAGTAATGAAAAGCCCTCAGGGTATTGGCAACAGTCGGTGCGGTACTAACTTACCTCCATTGCATGGGACATAAGCTGAGTAACCTCAGGCGATGCAGACTCCAGACCGCACTCTTTGACTGCACAGAATAACACAAATAATGGCAGGCAGGAACAAGTGTGTTCACCCACACTCACCGTGGAAATCAGTGCAGACGCAGGGAGGGAGGGAGAGACAGAGAGAGACAGAGAGAGAGAGAGACAGAGAGGAACATACCTTTCTTTGCGATCAGCTGACGCAGAGGGTCAGCAGCGAGAAGTGTTTGATCACCGCAAGTTTGTGTTTGAAGTGGGGCATGCTCAGCACCAGTTAGAATCGCCGTCTCCTCCTGCACACACACACAAATTCAAGGAAGGAAAAGAAAGCAAAAATCACGTTTGTACATACGTTTACATCAACTCACAAAGATTGTTTGCAGCTGCTCACCGAGCGATAAGGGGTTTTTCTGTTTTTCTCTGGCTTACTGTAAAAGAAGAAATTTTCGGTGGTTTAATATTTTCGGTATTCTCCAAAATCGGCGGTTTGGCGGAGGGAAATTTTCGGTAAACCCGTTTTCCAGGTAAGTGTACTAGTACAGTCGAATGTCACTTATCCGGTCGCCAGTTATCCGAGCACGTTGGTTATCCGACAAGCCAGGGAGTGGTAATTTTATGACTCTCAACAGTAAAATTCTAATTTTTTTGTGTAAATTTAGGTGTGATATGCATTTACTTGAAGTAGATGTGGTCAAGTATGCTAACATGTATGTGTACATGGAGCAATTCATGAATATGCATGAATATATTTGGGTATTGTGTACATAAATCAGTGAAATCCAGCCATATATGCACATAAAAAATGATATCAGTTATCCAACATATTCAGTTATCCAACATGCCTGATCCCCGAAGTGGTCGGATAAGTGACATTCGACTGTACTAGTATTGAAATTTTCGGCACCAAAGATACCGAACATAAAACACCACCGAAAATGGCTGCTTTTACAGTACCAAAATTACAGAAATGATATTCGTACGGAGTATAGTTGTGCATTTCATTGCACTTAGTACAAAGAAAAAGTTCACAAGTATCCCTTAGAACATCAGTTCTGGTGTCTACGCATGCCAGAGAACATTTTTACAACAGAAAAAAATAGCAATGCTTCAGTAAAGATTTCCACCTGGTTTAACTGCACGATTCATGTTGTCGCCGCGTGAAATTCGATTACAAGGATGCTTTCCTCCGCACCATTGGGAAAGTTTCCATAACAAGTGTGAGAGTGCACGAGAATGTACAAGGAAATGGCAACTGATTACACGTGATTGGATGCGAGTACACGTGACGGTGAGTGGCGAAACAGGTGTGTACATGTACCGGTATGTGTGTATGTGAATGGCTAGTTGTATCAGTAGAGAAGAAGAAGAAGATGTACTTAAAACATCACATGTGCCAAGCAGACTCATGTGGAGCATGAATTCAAGTTGCATTTACAAAGTATGAATTTATTCGGGCAACGAATTCAAAACACGACCCCAGTTTTGCACGTTCCGCGCCGTGAAAATGCTTGGAAGGGCGGGACAGCGCATGACCGGACTACCCGATAAGACCCTGCCACACAGCACACACCGGGAGCACGTGGCAGAAGTTCTAGCGGTATTTTCTAGTGGGCTACGATTGACAATAGAAACTGGCCGTGTACTTACACGGAGATTTACTCCTCCAACGAGCGTCACATCGTTATCATCCTCCCTGCGCACGCAAACCAGAGGGCAAGAGACGAGGACATGTGACTTCTCGTCATAGAATCGAGCAAGAGAACAAAGCGTTGAAACTGGGAGAAGACGGCAATCTCACAGCACAGCACGCACTGTATGGGTAAGTCGAGCACACCTCTCTGCTTCCCTAAACGAAGGACCGGGCTGGGTAAGCACAATCTCCTCAACATAATCTGCATCCAATTCATGAGACGCGAGGTTTCTCAGCTCTCTTGTGTCCGGCATCACGACTCGTTTCAAAGCAGAGCAAGCACAGTGGCCTTCACGGTCGAGTGAGGAGTCATACTACAATGTGCACAGCCAGTTGAGTAGCCTTCACTGTTGAGGGAGGAGTCAAACCGCAACGTGCACACGCAGTTGCACTGCATGTTCGGAGGAATTGCAAAGAGACTTCGCTTACCCGGGTGCATCGTCTTTCGTTTTAGACTTTGCAGCCTTGCTGGTGGCACTTGGCTTGGATGGTGTTGTTGTGCTACTTGCGGTCGGTGCAGAAGACGTCGCCACTGGCTGTGGATGACTCGGTACGGCCACTGAGAAAATAACACAGAGATGCACACACACACGCACACACACACGCACACACACACACACACACACACACACCGTATATTCTCTATTATAAGCGCTGTGCTCGTACTCTTTCAACACCACTCTACCCCGCGCGCATATACAGGAGACCGCGCTTATATTTTTGCTCCATTCAATAACTCAATGCAGAGCAAGAAAAAATACAGTCACGCTATGTATCTGGCATGCCACACTGAATTCCACTGACACCGTGCTAACAACCACAGCCTTTACAGCGTGTGCTCCTTTTATCGGAGACACCTGGAATATTCTGCTATTCTGTTTTCTCGGCTTCATTCAGACTGCACGTACCTGCAGTCGTTGGTGTCGGTACCGAAGCCGACGCCGTGGAAGCAACCACGGACGGTGGCGCCGGCGTTTTCAGCACTGCCGGAGCAAGGTTGGCGGTTGCGGTTGTCGCAGAGATGCTAGACACCTGCGGAGGCACAGTGGGTGCTGCGGTGGCGGTGGTGGTGGCAGCAGTCGGCCTCTGCTGTCCCTTGGCGGCTAGTGACGCCTGCTGCGCGTGGCGCTGCATGAACATATGGTAGAGCTGCGGGTTCTTCAGCGCTTCCATCATCTTCTGCTGGCCTGCAGCCTGCAGCAAGGCTCGGAGAGCGTTGGGATTCACCAATGGTGTTGGTGTGTTAGGGCTGCTACCAGTGGCAGTCGCAGAGGCAGCAGCAGCAGCAGCGGCGGCTACTGCTGGGGTGACGCGAGTGCTGGAAGTAGTTGTTACACCTGCAGCGGCGGCTGTGACGGAATTTGTACTTGCGGAAATCGCCGCAGCAGCTGGGGTTGCGCTTGGAGTAGCTGCAGTAGTAGGCGCAGCAGCAGGTATTGCAGCCTGCGTCATGGTCGTCGGTGGTGCAGGGGATGTGGATGCTGGCTCGGTTTTGATGCTGGGAGTTGCGCGCTTAGCTTTCTGCTGGAAGATGGCCTGAGTCTCCTGCTGTAGTTGAAATCGTAGATACGGTAAAGTGGACTGCGGACACATCAAGATCACAACAAGGGCACAGTATATTGGTCAGATCAGATTGGCTGTAGTAGTCGGAACAGCAGCTTCCAATGAAAGAGAATAACAACATTTGTTTGAATGGACTCGGATGGAGAGCCAAGTATAAATTTATAGAAAAAGAAAAAGAATCAAGGAACTACAAGTTGCGCTGTAATGTCCACTAGCACCACCAGTTACTAAACAATCAGCTCATGAGATAACATTGCATGACACTGACCGACGGTACTGTCGTTCTACAACTAACTGGCTAACAGCTCTAGCACATCTTGGATGCGCACTCCAACAGCCTTCCAACTTGGAAGGTTCTAAGTTATACGATAACATAAAAGGGAATCCAAGATGTGCTAGAGCTGTTAGCCAGTTAGTTCCTTGGTCCTTTTTTCTTTTCTATAAAATTTGTTTGCCAGAAATAGTGCAGTAACCATCACCATGTGGGTATTCATTGGGTTTTGCAACTTCCTCTGGCAGCTCCAGCAGTGGATTGGAGTGTTGAGAACATGCTCTGAACACTCCAGTGCCAGTACAGACCAATGAACACCCCTGGTTGAGACAATCCTGTTCCGGGCCCCACCAATCAAACGCGCCCTGAATCCCTCCCAATTGATACACCACTGCCCGTAGAGGTAGTTGTCTTAGACATCGAACAACGCACAGCGTGTAGACACCAAGCCACACTTCAACATACAGGTGGTAGCCATCACACCACACTTCAACACACAGCGTGTAGACATCACACCACACTTTAACATACAGCTTGTACAGAGAGACTATCACTTCATAGAGAGCTGCCTCAGTGCAGCCCAGGCTGGTGGCTAAACATGAATTAGAATGTACTACAGGGGCGGGTACGGCAGTAGGGATGACAAGAGAGTGATGGGCACCACTCACCGAGAGAAAGTGTGGAAAGTTTGCTGCCTGTGACTGAAGTTTGATTCCTCCTATCCTGTCGATCTCCGTGATGAACTTGGAATCAGACATGTTCCCATCCTGTGTTTAGCACAACGAAAACACAGAGGCGAGCAACATGTTGATGAAGAACAAAGGTGAAGGTCGGCAGTGTCCTAGCTCAAAGGCTCACTTCCAACGCGAAAAGGAAGCAACATACAGATACGAGCCACATAAACAGCAGCTGACGACCCATAGATCTGGCAAGAGAAATTCGAACTCATGAATAAAGTAGCGCCGCATTCGAGTGTACAGAGTAGTGCGTGTGGTGCTAGGGCAGCATAGTGCCCGGCGCTATTTTTTTTATGGTGTCAAATTTCTCTGGCCAGAACTTTACGCGTTCACTGTGGTCAACTCCTCATACAATGTCCACGTCGACATTAAAAAAGTCTTTAAAAGACTCTCGTTTATTGGTGCAATCAAGAGTAGATTAACAAGAGTGTGCAACTCCGGATCTCTCCTGCATAATCTGCAGATACCCCCGCCCACGGCGGAATTTTTCGTTGACGTCACCTTTTTTCAGAAGAACGCGCATTTCGCCGCAGAGCAGTGTGAGCGCACGTGCTGGGCACCGACCTTGTAATGTAAAGCCGGCCAAGAGCATGAGGGAAAACTTTCCAAAAGACTCGCAGCGCGTGCGTCGTCGAAAAGATTACGTCAACAAAAAATTCCGCCGTGGGCCTACCCATCCGCGAGTTGCACACTCTTGTTTATCTACTCTTGGTGCAATCCACACAGTACTTGCGGCTCAGTACCTTCGATATCAAGAGTGCATGAAACCAGAGCGAGCAGCACTCCGCATGGGAACTTGTCACAGCAAAATTCCTGGGTTACAGTATAGGCGATGCAGATGAACGTTGCGAAGTGGCACAGCGCATACAACCAAGCTGCAGCAGGAGAGCTGCTGGAATCTCACTTGTACACACTGTATCATTCTCATCTTGGAATTTTACCATGACAGCCACCCATATGAAGTCCACACTCCGGTCTTCAATTTTGGAATTTTACCATGACAGCCACCCATATGAAGTCCACACTCTGGTCTTCAATGTTGGAATTTTACCATGACAGCCACCCATATGAAGTCCACACTCTGGTCTTCAATGTTGGAATTTTACGATGACAGCCACCCATATGAAGTCCACACTCTGGTCTTCAATGTTATGCTGATATCAGGGGATTCTACTGACAGACTGGTTTGCAGTCATGTGGGTTATTCAGCATACATGTACATGGTACTCCCCAGGCAGAGGCTGGGCCGCATGATGTGCAAATAAGTGTGGTGTGGAACAGTATTAATCTAGCAACATTCGCGATGCGGAGTGTGGACAGACAGTTTGCGCGTGTGTGTGTGTGTGTGTGTATGTGGAAGAGAGAGAGAGAGAGAGAGGAGGGGAGGGGGCAGAGATGAGAGGTAGGGGCAGTGCCCACCCCTCGGCAGAATATGATGCACAGGAGAACGGGTGGGGATGTCCGCTTCAGGCTAGTGAACTGATGCTCTTATTTTCGAGATTGAAGAGTCTCTTCACGCAGTGTAGGTGCACTATCATATGTATGCAGTGTCATATGAAGACACTGGGCTTTTAGATCTTTTCTTCCAGCCCGGTGTCGGCAATTTTCTAGCCTGGACGTTCTTCAGCACCCGATCTTACTGTAAAGCAGGATTCACAGTTTTTAGATGTGTATGCATGTGTGTGTGTGTGTGTGTGTGTGCGCGTGTCGATGTGTGTGTGTGTGAGGTGTCTGTGGTGTGTGGTGTGTGTGTGTGTGTGTGTGTGCGAAGTGCAGCGGGGCCCAGGAGCAATGCGAACTCGCAAAATACCATCCCAAGGCATTCACGTAGCTCGGTAAAACTTGTACAAATCTATAAGCAACTACTGTATTGCTCTTGAACCTAATGTACAACTTTGGCTGCAACGAAGGTCCATATCGCACATCGCATCGTGACAGTTGTGCCAAGCTTACTGACTACAATGTGTTGTAAGCGTGCATAGCTTCTATGTTTACATGATCACTACTATGCGCAAACTATATCGTTTGAATATGTGCCTTTGGCATGGGCATGTTCTACCTCCAATGCATGCTGAGGAAACGTAAAAGGTTACCAGGCTGCAGATGGCTATTTACTTGCTCGATTTTAGTTGCCCAATCATGTACATAGTAGGTCATCTACATCATGTATTAGTAGATGGCGAATGACGTCATGCTACACATGTACAGGCAATGAGTGCACTGCATAATTTACAGAAAAACAGCTGCCCTGAACCGGAGATAATTGACACATAATTAGGTATTGGAGAGATGCCCCTTGCGTTGAATGTGATGTGAAATTGTTTGAATTTTCAAATGGGCAAAAGGGAAAACAATTTCAAAACTTCTCATGAAAATAGTATTCGACTTACCAGAAGCTTTTTCACCAATTCTCTCATCACCTGCCCGAATTTCTCGTCCTTCTGCGTCGCCATTTCAATGAGTCGTCCCAATAACTGCCTCAACCTATTGACTTTATCTCTCATTTGTGTTTCCATTACTTTGGGTGAAGCAGTGTTACGAATAGGAGGAGTGGGTGCAGCAGGACGAGGGGTAGGCTCGGAGCCTAACTGCTGCGCCAACGATGCAGCCATATCCTGTACAGCTCGGGTATCCTCCCCAGATCCATCCAGGACATCTGCAATTCCTAAGATATCCATCGCACCACTTTCTGCTAAATCTCCTTCAGCCGACCGTTTTGTCGACTGGTCCATTCTCCATTAGACAAGACTTTTATACTCCCTGAAACATGCGCATGCGCTTTTACGATTTTCAATAACAAGACCTGGCTGGTAACTCCAGAACTCACCTTCTAACTCTGAGGTTTAGTACGATTCTGGCCATATGTTTGTGATTTCAGGGGATTCCCGCAGAATCGAGGCAGGAAAACGAAAAGAACAGTGGTTGAATCGGTGAATCCCCATGACCGTGATGACGTCTTCGCCATGTGGTGATGAATCAGTGCTTGTTAATGTTGTATTTGAATCGAACTTTTACTTTATCGAAGTCGAGTTCACCAGTGCAGTGAGTTGACAGTAGAAAATACCGAGTACTCAGTAAGTAAACAAAAAAGAAGCCTTCCAAAAACTGTAGTCTAGACAGAGATCCAACACTTCTGAAACGTACGTTCCAAAAGCTTTGCAAGTAAGTTAGTTACCAACTGAAACCATATTTTGATGAGTAGTGAATGTGTGCATACGACTCGTACTATCTTGAATGATCCTTCAAACAAGTCACAATGGCGTGGAAATCTGTGAAGGCAGTGCTGTTGGACCTGAATGGTACCTTGCATGTTGGTGACGCACCTACCCAGGGCGCCGTGCTGGCACTGAAGAGGTCAGTATATTTAAATAATCATGCAGTATTTGAAGTACACATTTGTAGTAATAAAAATACTCACCGCATACACGCACATGTGCAATTTGTTTTTTAACAAACTTGAAGTTGAAGGGGGGCCGGGGTCCGGGTATTTATTTGAAGTCGTGAAAATCTGAAAACACAATATGGACCCAACAATAATAATATGTATAGCGTGAAATAAAAAGAAAGAAAATAATAACCAGTCGATCGCTAAAAACGAACATAAGAAAATTATAGGGAGGGCCTAGGGGGGGGGGGGGGAACTGGAATCTGAGAAAATTATAACGTGCATGCTACATGAAGCTTGTACAGTTCCCACGCGAGTTACAAAGTACCTCGTACGGTGTACTATACTACGCCTCGGTTTCGTTTTACGAAGAGTCATGGTGCTCTGTAACTCATGTGTGTACGTGTAGCTCTGCTCCTTGGGTTGGTTCACATCCGGGAGCCGAAGCATCTAGGGAGAGTCGACTGCAGGAGACCATAGTACCAGAAACAATGTGCAGTTTGACCCCGATTTGGGAAGCTTTACATTACCTGTGATCTGTGGAACTTGCGACTGCGATTGCGGCCTTGACCCGCTGTTACTAGCACCCCAACGCGGCCCATGGCATGTGTGCGAGTGTGTATAAATAGGCCCTCCCTCAGGGACGACCGGAACGGGCAACCGGGGAGCGAAGCTCACATCGTTTCACATTCCAGTTGTCCGTGCTGTCTCCTTAAACGCTATGACTGCGAGGTTCACGTATGCCCAATCACCAATGCATATCCAGCGCTAGGCCACTGACCCAGCTCCCAGCAAGCGCCGTCAGCGGCATCATGTGAATAGGGTTTGAGTACAATTACAGTACGAAACTGCAGAAGAACCTTTAAGTACGGGTCAAAGTGCTCGATGGATGATGTGCAGAGCTGTAATACTGCTTGATTGGTGTCAGATCTCCCCAAGCCCAAATTACAGTATTTTCTCTATTAAAACTGCTCCTCCGCCTCAGCAGCATCCTGGTTGGCGTCAAATATCCATATACTACCTGCATAGACCTCTCTCTCTCTCTCTCTCTCTCTCTCTCTCTCTCTCTCTCTCTCTCTCTCTCTCTCTCTCTCTCTCTCTCTCTCTCTCTCTCTCTCTCTCTCTCTCTCTCTCTCTCTCTCTCACTCACACACACACACACACACACACACACACACACCTTTGACCTTTGACGCCCCATCTCCAGTGGACACACGCACACACACACACACACACACACACACACACACACACACACACACACACACACACACACATCATTTGACGCCCATCGCCTGGAGGTGATGATAGCGATGCTACAGCAGAAGCCATAGCAACTAGTTACTTGTGCTGGGATTGCTCCATTCAACATCTTGCAAGGCTGTATAATTGACCACCATTAGTAGTTTGTGGTCTTTGGCTAAAGACCTGGGTTGTCTTGTCTTTTCTGCTTAGGTTGAGGATGTCGGGCATTCCTGTTCGCTTTGTCACTAATACAACAAAAGAGTCGCGGCGTGCCCTCAAGAAGCGTTTAGATTCAATTGGTTTTGGAATTGAGCTAAACGAGGTACACACTATTAACCGGGTTGAGATGATTATGCCTGACGTCAGTAGCATCAATATTCCTTGTTCTCTCATTGCCTGCCTAAGGATTCGTAGAGGATTTGTCATTTTTGAGCTGCCCCGCATCAGCTACGGAGTGTTTTATTATCTATCAATGTCCCATCCCAAGCGCCCAAAGTACCACGTCATGTCGCATAACCTTCTTGTACAACACAACCACAGTGCAAGTTACTAAAGGAAAGAGGAAACGTGGACTATGCTGAAAGTGCAAGAAATGCACGGCCACACCAGATAGACAGCACCGATAGGCAGCACGGGATTATGGAAACATACGTTGCGAATGGTCGGTGAGTGCGTGGCCGTAAACATGATCACATGAACAGTAGTAAAGTGAAGTTCGCACGTCCGCGTTACAACCGCTTAGGAAGTTTCGCTTGTGCCAGGTCACCGCCGTGCCTGGACTGATAAGCGCAATGGGAAATCCCCAGAGTGAATGTAGAATTTTGAAAATGATGTCCACATGAAGATAGATAGCTGGTACAGTCAGATCTCGCTTATCCGGTCCTCGTTTATCCGGATCCCTCGCCATCCGGAAGATAATCACTGGTTACCAATTTACAGCATATGACATGCACACATACAGTATGTGTGTTCGATTATCCGGTTCCCTCGCCTATCCGGATATTTTTCTCGAAAACGGATGTGTGCGGTTATGCGAGGTCTGACTGTAGAACAATGTATTTCTCCCCTATTATTGCAGCATCCTCAATATCTTTATTTTTTGCCCAGTTGAGGCAAAGATATTAGGAAAGTAGGCTACCTGCAAAGATGTAGGAAGTGAGTAGGGAGGGAGCAACACACAATTTCTCAAGTATCGCATAAAGTCGCTACAGCCTCTTCTTCGGAAAGACATGTTTGCTTTGCTGATTGTTATTGTTCAGATCTACACCGCACTCCGCGCAGCTCATTCGTTGATTCGGCAACGGCACCTGAGGCCGTACTACATAATGGAGGATGACGCGCTCCTGGAGGAGTTCAGTGACCTGCCACGCTCCGGGGAGGCCGACGGCTCCGACGCCAGTGCGGTGGTGGTGGCCCTGGCGCCGAGCAAGTTTGACTACGCCACCATGAACCGTGCATTCCGGTATGTTGGCTCACTCGGCGAGCAGGCTTTCCATTTGCTTCTCCCCAAGGAAGATTACATTGCTTCCATGGGCTTGTATCACTGCACAGCAGCTATTCCCTGCATTAAACACTACCTCGATGCACTCGCTGCCGAAAAACACTCGTTTAGAAAACAAAGTTGGTTTCATGACCAGGAGTGTGGACAACAGTTACCGTCATGATTCACTTCTAGACCCTTCGCACTGAGCACTTTTTGCTAGGGGACACACAGAATGTGGTTGGATCCTCAACAGGGATACACGCTGGGTGTATCTGTTGCTCTCTTCCTGGTGAAAATCTAGCCGTATTCTGGGGTTACTGTGTATAGTTTTCAGCACCATTGGGCGCGTTTGGTGGTGGACAGTATCCCATCCACCTTGTATTTACTGTCAGACACACACACACACACACACACACACACACACACACACACACTTTTAAATTTCTGGCTACTGTTCGTTTTATAATTTATGTGTCTTCTCGTACAGGATTTTGCAAGCGGGGAATCCCCTGATTGCTATCCACAAAGCGCGCTTATACAAGAGGCCGGATGGCCTGGCGTTGGGTCCCGGGCCATTTGTCGAAGCTCTGGAGTACGCCAGCGGTGTCCGTGCCGAAGTGGTCGGAAAGCCGGAGATAGCGTTCTTTCGGGCGTGCATGGACGGCTTGAACTGCAGTCCCGACGAAGTGGTCATGATCGGCGATGTAAGTGGGATGCCAATGTGTTGTTGGGTGTAATTCCGGCTTGATTTATTGCTCTTACAAATGTCGTAGATGTCTCTTATCTAATAAATATTTTATTGGCTACTACAGTTTCAGCATGCAAGCGTAATCACTGACCAGGGAGTCTTAAGATACTGGTATTTTAAGACTCCCTGACCGTAACTCGTGCCGAGCAGCAGCTGAATTTTATGTCAATGTGTGCTGTGTGCTGTGTTTGCTATTGCTATGTTCGCTGTTGCTCTTGGTTGTCTAGGATGTGCGCGATGATGTACGCGGTGCCATGGATGCAGGGTTGCGCGCCGTCCTTGTCAGAACCGGTGAGTGATGTTTGGATGTTGCCTTGGGCAGGACAGAGTGTGCATACCACTGAAAGACATCCGTGTTTGTCTGTCAGATCTGGAAACTCGAAAAACGAGCACGTAACGATTGCATCACGAGTGCAAGTAGGATGAGTTCAGAATCATCAGTCTCTTGTGTCTGACTCGGAATGCGAAGCTACTCAACAACACTACTCGTGTTAGAAGTTGCTACATGTTCTTTGAAGTAGTCGGTATGCCAGCATACTTGCTTTGCAGCAACACTGACGTGCTTGCACACCTGATTCAAGTGAAGTTAGTTTCTCTACTCTGTGTGCCCGTGACCGAGATCATGCTTCTGTGTGCACCCTACCCTGTGCAGGCAAATACCGATCGGGGGACGACAGCTTGTTGGAAAACACCGGCGGAGTTGCATGCGACACGTTTGCTTCCGCCGTGGACATGTTGCTGGGTGATGACATCTCTTGAACGGCCAATGCATCTGACAACCACACCGAAATGCACCCATGGCCAGAAGAAAAAGGCGGCGGAGTTGGCAGCCAGTGGTGTTTAATACTGTACACAAGCTGGAAGGATTGCCTCGTGTACATTCCAGACCAGTCATCAACCACACCGAAATGCACCCATGCCCATGGCCCAAAGAAAACGGCGGCGGAGTTGGCAGCCAGTGATGTTCCTGTACACGAGCTAAACGGATTGCCTCGTGTACATTCCAGACCAGTAATGTACACGTAGCTGACTGTATCACCCCTTTCTTACGTTACTTCAGAACTTAGAACCTTCCAAGTTGGAAGGCTGCTGGTAGCTGGCTGTGTACGTTTTAATGTGCACAGTACAGTTTTAATGTACTCCAATGACCGAGCAAGAGCAAACGTGCAGACTGGCCGCATCTACGTGCAAGCTTAGTTGACACTGCCGCGGAAGTGCCGATAATAATGATGACGTTCTGCTCAATGGCCGCTGGGTGGGTAGAAAGCCTACCCAGACGTCCAGTGCCACAGTCCAGGTTATCTCAAGCTTCAACCATCCGTCAAGTACTACTGTCATGGACGTGGAAATCCGGTCGATCGTCGAGCGGCCCAGGGCGCTGGCCGTGCAGCCGCGAGTACCCATACGATCAACACGTGCACTCCAACTCAGCGTTCTGTACGCACTGAGGGCGCCGGCCCCGCGTCAATCGACCGGATTTCCATGTCCACGACGGTAGTATATCTACATGCAACAAGGGTGGTTATCAGGACTTGCAAGGAGGGAAAGCACCCTCCACATCACCACCACCACCACCACAGCATGCATGGCAGGAAGGGAAAGTCCCCTCCGCATCACCACCACCCCTGCAGCACGTATCGCAGGTCTGTTTCACACAGAGACTGAGAGTCATCTGGAACACCGACCACAGCACCTGTGCGTTTCACGAGTTCTATGCAATGGGACTATGCAGACATACTAAACCCATCTGAAGCCAACCACACACCGCACCGCGTACCCAGCAGCCACCGGTTCAAGTTTCAAGCTCAATATTGGACATTTTCAAGCCAACGTGACAAAACGACAAGATAACAACTTGGTAGAACGAATAACAGCCATAATTCTATACATGCATCTTGATAAGAAATCATACTCATAACACTTGGTCTAAAAATGAATAATACTATCATGATGGCTTCCTATCATCCAGCTAAAGGCACAAACTATTCACCTAATGTCTCCTGTACAGTAGCTGGGCAGTTCTCTTTTATGTACTATGCAGTAGGAAGCAGCACAGAAGAAAAGCTTTGTATGATCTGCTTCAAGGCAGGATGATTTTTTATAAGTATTAATTTAATTTTGTACATTGCAGCACGGTTTGTACACCCATACCTAGCTCATGTTCCTGTGTAGAAAAAATCGTTAAAATTCAGTAAAAATGTTACGTGCAGATTAGGCACAGGATTCCGAATTCGAATTCATGATTTGCGGAAGGGAAGGAAGGAGAACATGTGTTTCGTGAGCTTACAGTGGAATGTTTTACTTTGGTTTCAAGGTGGAGCGTGCAAGCAGTTCGTGGCATGTCGCATTCATGTGTGATCGAGGCACGTCCCCACAAACAGCACACATCATGGCATCTGTTCACAGATATTGGTACATACCGCTTGAAGATGGCCTCATTCCGAGTCGTACACGATGTTGAAGAGCAGGCTTTTTGGCGTGGTCTCGTCCGCCACGACCAGCTGATGGCCATCCGTTAAGCCGAGATCTGTGAGAGTACGCTGGAGATTCGGCCGAGTGCGCTGCTCAATGAACTTTGGCCGAAACATGTAGAGCGTCTTGTTCTGCGACTCTACCATTGCAGTGATACCTGGCGACTTCATCTGCAGGCTGAGATTGTTACAGAAGTAGTCCAGCACCACCTGCAGCGTGTCAGAGCGCTTGAAATGAACCATGCGTGGCCGAGTGCTGCAGCACGGACACTCCTCGTCCTTCTCCATCTCCATTACAGAGCAGTACACGCCATCACCGTCGTTGAACTGCATATAGTTCTGCATGAACTGCATGTTGGAGGCCACCTTGAACGCCTCGGATGCGCACGCCGCTGCAATGGCCGCGTTTGTCGATGCCACTGCCGGTACGATGTTCTTAACGACGCCTTGCGTCAGGCGATAGTTGACGCCGCTGATGCTGAACTCCGCAGCTCGTTCTTGCGCCTTCTCAAACAACCAGCTGATGTGCTCCGGATTGTCGCCGTCCACCGATACGCCGTCGCCGAATGGCTTCTCTTGTGGCCAGAGCAGCACCTTGGCAAACTCCACGCAGTGTTCGGGCAGGCGAGGCTGATGGGCTATAGTGCACAGCGGGAAGGTGACTTGCGGTGGGTAAAGGTTTATGGTGCACTCAATGCAGGGCGTTAGGCCAGGCAGCACCACGCGGGCATTGCCCTGGAAGCCCTCCGTACCGCCGTCAACGAATGGCACGATGGTATCCCCTCGCGGCGAGCCATCATTCGGATCATACTCCAACATGCTAACTAGCATACCATTCATCCAACGGCGGGCCAGCACGGAGTCCAAGCCCAGGACAATGACATGAAACTTGCGATAGAAGCAGGCGTCGAAGTCCTGAATCTTGCAGTAGTGCGGGACAACTTTGCAGCCTGGCACACGTTTGTTAATGAACTCAGCAGCTGCCTCGGCCTTAGGTCGCCCTATATCGGAACGTCGGAACAGGAATTGCCTGTTCAAATTAGATAAGTCGATTGTATCCATGTCGATTACGTCAATGTTGGCGAATCCCAGAAGGGCTAAGGACTTGAGAAGCTCGCAGCCGAGACCACCGGCACCCACTACCAGGACCCTGCATGCATCTTGCAGGAATGTCAGCGTGGCTTCGCCATCCGTGTCCTCTTCACTGTGCAGCGCGTTCAAGACGTGTGTCCACCGTCCAGACCAAGTTGATGGCGTCTGGACATCCTGTTGAGTCTCCACATCGCCATTTCCTACAGAGCCCATTTCTGAATATTCCAAGGGCTATTGTAAAAGTCGTCAAAGCGCTTCAATCGATACTCCGGTACTCCTAGATCCTGCCGTTCTGAGAGAGGAGATGGCTGAATGGAAAATGAGACATTTGAAAATTGCTCCCCTTTTTGAAAGCAATAATAATAGGAAGAGCTAGAGGTGAAATAATGAATATTCTTCGACCCAAGAATTACGTCATTTAATGTAGATAACACGAAACACGGCGGCAAATTCAACTTTTTCAAGTGTTTTCTAGGGCGCGTTTGGTTGGCATGAACTAGAACAGGATTCACCAGAACAGCGCGTTTGGTTGGGACTGCACCTGTTCTGGGTCGGCCAGAACATGTTCTGCTTGCTCCGGCCTCGAGGCCGGAGCAGACCGAGCAGTTTCACTTTTTCACAGTGAAACCTGGCGGGAACATCGATTTTGTTCCCAAATGATCACGTGCATACGCTTTTGGGTTGGACTCGTCGTACCGTACAAAGTGACCATGGTGATCCATACACATTTTGAAGAATGCACCAAGTTTGGCACATTTTTCCACAAAAATGTGCTCTGTTTCTGGAGTAGCGTTTGGTTGGCATGAGGCTGCTCCATGTGCACCAGCTGTTCGATCCTGTTCTAGATCGTACCAACCAAACGCACCCCTAGTTCTCTTTGTGCGTGGCGTGAATTCATGAAGTTTGAGCGAAGAGCCCGATACAAATAACAGTCGAGTTGAGCCCTTGTCTTGAGAAGTAAAAGGAGACTAAATGTTTGACCTTCCTGGCGTGTCCAACGCGCGACACTTGCTTCTGGACTTCATGGCAAGAGCAGCATAGTGGGCTTCTTTCTGCCAGCCATGGTGCAGGTGTAAATTTGAAGTGATAAGAGTTGCATTGTAAATCATTTTCTCAAGGAGTGAATTCATTTGCCACTTCGCCATTCGAAACATTCAGCGGTTCGCTTGATGGTAGAACCTGCACTATGGCCACCAATGTTACGCCGAGACGCAGCAAGCGCCTGCAGGATGCTGACTCTGAGGAGGCCGAGGTGGTGTGGGACTTTGGCTCGGCCAGCCCAAGATCACGCCTGGACCTGTGTCGAAAGTATGACAAAATGTATCACTCGGCCAACGAGGAGCTGAGAGGGCAGCTGGCAACCTGGTTTCCCGAAACGGCTGGAGAGTCGACGGAAGACTCGCCACTAACGCAGCCATACGAGTCTCGTCTTCAGCCAGTTGCCCGCGACGCGTCGTCATCGTCCCGGCGAAAACGTGCCGATGAGAGGCAGCGGCGCAAAGATAAAGCGCTGCAGGAGTTGCAGGCAGTTGTGAAAGAGATCAACCAGAACGATGCTAGGGCCTCGGCATCACCAGTGCTGGATATAACGCCGAAATCGCGGCGTTCCGAGCGTCGTATCACGGGGGATAGCCCGGCCGTAGCTGCTGCACATGAACCGGTGCCGTGCCAGCTGTTCTCCGGACCTCTTGCGGATGATGAGAATCTGAACGATCTGTTCGGGAACGTTGATGAAATATTCGCGCTGTCTCAGGAGGAGCTGGAGCAAGTCCTTGGCGCGTCTCCGTCATCATCAACATCGAGCTCACCGAGCAAGAGCCGTAGTCAACCTGCAGCACCTGTGTCCAGTAGGACCAATGATACGTCCTCTGCTCATTCTTCAGCTAATCAAGGATCGCAACCTAAACAACTTCGAAGCGCCACTGCTGTGGATGCATCTAGTCGTGAGCAGAGCAAGACCCACACCGCACACTCTACAAATTCTACATGCCTACCCAGCGACAGTCGTGGTGCTGCAGGTGCTGGAGCATTGCCGGCTGCTTTTGTTCAGCAGCGGCAGCAGCAGCGGCACAGACTCCACAGCAGCCAGCCAAGAAGCGATGAGCCATCACCTGCTGTGCAGCAAGGCGTATGCACGCATCGCCGGCATCCCACACCTGGCTCGCTATCGCGGAGTGCCAGCGCACAAACCGCTGGCAAGCATTCGTCTAAACCAGGTCGACCGACTGGCTCACCGGAAAATAAACCGCCTGGCCTGAAATCTGCCGGCGGATCTACGGGTGTGGGTGCTAGCACTGTGCAGCGTAGATCTTCCATACCTCAGCAAGCACATCAGCATCAGCAGCAGCGAAAGCCCCTGTCTAGTACCAGCTCCCAGCAGCGACGTTGCACGCAGGAAGAGATTGAGCGGAAGCGTCGTCTAGCCAGGCAGCGCCTGGCAAAGCGTAACTTCAGCGCTCAGCATGCCACTGCGAGCCAGACGAACGTTGCTGGGGGCACTACATGACTTACTCGCCAGCTGGTAGTATGTTACTTGACGATCAGCTGTTACTACATATAGGGTATAGGTCAACTGTCAGCTGGGCTGTTGCTGATGTGTTGCTGCAGCTCAGCTGCTAGAAAGTTACTGCTATGTACATGCCAGGACTACGCTAGCTCACCATGGTGTGTGTGTGTGGTGTGTGTGCATGTGTGTGTGTGCATGTGTGTGTGCATGTGTGTGTGTGTGTGCATGTGTGTGTGTGTGTGCGTGTAGGTGTGTGTGCATGTGTGTGTGCATGTGTGTGTGCATGTGTGTGTGCATGTGTAGGTGCATGTGTACAAGCAGGCACATTCAACTTCCACCGCATGCATTCCCTTGTCGTCACTGCACAAAAGCGCCACGTTACTTTCAACGTTGCGTGGCTTTGTCGTTGTTTTTAATTGGAAAGGCTCGTCTCTTGTGTGACTAACAAAAATCATTGAAAAATTATTCAGTGCACTTGCTGCAAATTCTTTAACCCGTTTCTCGTTTCGCCTTTCTTTTGTATACCGATCTTCCCAAACAGTCTTTTCATGATGATTTTCTAGTACTGTTTTCTAGATTTGATGGAGTCTGCCCCCCCCCCCCTTTTTCTTCATAAAGTGTCATTATCGTACTTAACAACGGAGTCTTCATCCTGCATCATTCCGAATAGAGCTTGAAATACATCAGGTTCATCGGAGTCCCCCGCTTTTAATTTACTCTGAAGTGAAACGTGTGACTGTCGGAACATGGAGCCGTGCACATGTGCACACACAACACGCACACGCACACACACACACACACACACACACACACACACACACACACACACACACACACACACATATATTTATATATACACTACATACACACTTGCTAAGTTGTTTCTGTCAACAAAAAAGAAACACTCGTGAATTGCAGCCGAAGACAATTCCAGCAAAAGATTGCCGCGTGTATAATGTAATGTCGAACTAAAATTGAGAATCATTTGAGTACCAGCGACTGTTGACGTCACCGGTACCAAACTACCGTACGTAACATTCCACAAATGCAAAAACGAAGACGTGGTGTATAGGTAACCAGGGAAACCACCACTTTGGTCCCACAAACAATGGTTTCACGTCAGGGAATAGTCACAAATGCATGAGAGACATTGTGTTCAACGATCACTTCTGCTTCACGTAAAGGTCACAGCCAGCCAGCGTTGAGCGCTGATCGATGGCCGTCTTCAGGTAGCCGGTGGAGATGAAGCCAACGCACGTCGGCTCCATTTCGCAGAACATCTTCAGCTGCTCGACGTCCTTGGAAACCAGTGCCTGGCCGGCGTGGATGTCGAAGCCGTTCACGACCGTGTCCTTAAACACCTGGTACTCGGCGCCGGACGGTGCAGTGGCCCACTTCGCTAGAAGGCTGGCTGATTTGGTGACGACCAGGCTCGACTCCGGTTGACTGGTGTATGATTCGTTCGCCTGGCACCAGGCCTGCTCCCACGCCAGCAGCGCTGAACCGTACTGGCCGGTGTTGACTGGCGTGTTTGTGGTCACGGCTGTGAGCAACGTCTCGACCCACAGGTTCCAGCGGCCGCGGTAGTAGGTGCCAACCAGGCCAGCCCAGTGCTTCTCAGCGTAGTCATTGATCTGACCACTGGGTCCCCACAGTGTGATCTGGTAGCGAGCATTCGCCTCAAACTGCTTGCGTTCGGCATCATCCGTTGCCCAATCCTTGGCAGTGTCCAGCCAATGACCGAGTAAATAGTTACTGTCTGTGATCAGTAGCTGATCGAGGTCATAGATAAGGTCCAGCAATGCCGTGCCGAGTTTATCCAGCTGTGTGGTTGTGTTCACTTTATCCTTGGCCCAGCTGACGTACGCTGCAGACGATAGTGTGGCCAGATCAGCGTGCACACCGATGAGCACCTGTCGGCCCACATCCACCAAGTCGTAGCTGAGTGGGCCCGAGATTTGCCCCGCGGCTAACCCCACTTGCTGTGCACCGGCCGTCATCAGTCTCCACGCCGCGGTGACGCCAGCCATGTCGTACCCACTGCCAAGCAGCGGCGTGCTCTCTTGCTGCTGCCCTGCGGACCACATCGTTGAGGGGTCTGATGGCTCGGCATAAACGCCAAGCCCTGATGTCGACGTCACGCTAGGGATACCCGGTGAACGGTGCAGTCCGCCAAGGTACGTCTGGCCAAAGTTGTATTGGTAGACGGAATCGCGTAGCAGTGCCCAGGCTGATTGCAGCTTGGCGTTACCTGCTGAGTTTCCGTACCGGTCGTACACGTAGTCACTGATCCAGCTCGGCACGTCGATAGGCTGTGTCGTCCAGCCCGTCTCCAACATCATCTCGTACACGACTGGGTTTTGCTCGATGGCTTCCGGCGTCAACCCGATTCCAGCCATGGAGCTGCCAGCTAGCACACGATCCGACGCTGGACCAGTCGCAATGCGAGTCAGATTACCGCACAGCGAACGGCGTCCACCAAAGTTGTGTAGCATGCACCACACGAACGGCTTTCCGTAGTACGACTCGTACCGACTCCAGATTGGAACGGCTTCCGTGTACAGGTCCAGTATGATCATGCCAGAGTTGGGCACGGCGTCCAGGTACGGCTTCACGGTTTTTTCGTTCCAGAAGCCGCTCAGAAAGAGCCAGCCCTGCATCAGCCAGATGGCGTCCGGGTCGGCGGCGCGCATGCCCTGGAACACGGCCGCGCTGGTGTTGGCCAGGTAGCCGGGGTCTGAGCTGGACGGGTTCATTTCGTTGAACGTGTCCACGTTGTACACATGGTCAGTTCCCATCAGCTCGGTTTGCATCTGAATACAACAGAAATATAGGAAAGCAGACAAAACTCCCGTCAATATGACTAAGATCCGCTGTCTATGAGCAATAGGGCTTGAAAGTGATGACGTCAAAAACGGCCAGGGAGTAGTAAGTTGACATCAGATTTCTATTTTGGATCCAGTAAGGTGTGACTTTGCTATTGCCTCAGTATGTGGGTGCATAGCAACCCACTCATGTCGTATGCAGGGGTGACTTTACTTCGCCACCAGTTGTAACCCGCGCGCCACTAGCCAAATCAGTCAGTTTCACTGGTTACATCACCTTGCTGTGAGTAAGACGGCTTGAAATATGCTTGGATCCATACAAAAACTGGATCCAAGTGGATCCAATTTTTGAATTTTTGAAATTGTTGCTATGCTGTGACGTAGCACTTTCAAGCCCTATGGGGCTATGCCGCTACAGTGAACCTGCAAAAGACAATAGCAGATGCGGCAGCAGCTAATTGACTTTTGCAACTACACAGAGATCCTTTTATCATGGTAGAGATATGATGCGTGAATATGTTCAGAGCTTCTGCAACAACAGACTCACCAGATAGTACCCCTTTGCAAGAGACAAGAAATGCGAATCCGTAGGGTCTAGCAGCCGCACTTTCGTGTACGAGTCATTGAAATTTCCCCAGGCATGTGACTCGGTCAGTTCGATGCCGGGAACGATACGCTCCAGCGCAGCCGGCACGTGACCGGAGAAACCGGACAGCACTGGTGTCATGCCGAGTGCACGCATGCGCTCCAGACTCTGCAGCTGCAGCATGAACTGTGCCTTGCGATTGTCCGGCGTCAGCGGGCCGGCCCAGCCGCGAATGTTGCCCATGCGATTCCACGCCAAGAATGCCGGTCCGCTGAAGTATGCCTGGAGAAACAACCAAAGAAACAGGCTCACTTTGTTTCTGACAAAAAGCTAATATATCCTTTATAATTATCAACCTTCGGTGACAAGAACCAAAACCATTCCACTACCACCATTCAAGGCCTTGAACATATAAAGAGCTTTAGCAGCAGAGGATTCGAGCAGTACAGTATACCACGGGGTCATTATGCATCATAATCGATGACGTAATCGATGACATAATCGATGACATAATGACATAGAACATATCCAATTCAGTTGTTCTACTCAGAGTCTTCGAAGTATCTAAGGCGGTATAGGTTGACTTTAATAGTTATTTGCAGCCCCCTGTCTCGTGTGAATCTCAACTAACCTGCAGTTCCTCTTCAGTCATTCCCAGACTCTTGTAGTACTCTGCAATGACGTACTCCTGACCGGTGAACGACAACGGCAGGTTGATACCGTGCAGCGCCATCCAGTCAATCTCACGTTCCCACCGCCGCCAGTCCCACCATGCCGACGAATAGGACACGGTGCAGACGTTCATGTAGTAACGCCACTTCACAGAGCTGCTCACTCGTACAGTCTTCGGCACCTGAGAAATGGCACAGTCCACACGAGGTGCTAAATAAAGTACAATCATCCAAATACATCTACAAGGGAGCAGCTGGTCAAGGGTAAGTACTTCAGTTCATTGTTATTCCCTCCCGCCTTCCCTCCCTCTCTCCTTCCCTCCCTTCCTCCCTCCCCCCCTCCCCCTCCCTCTCCCTCCCTCCCTCCCTCCCTCCCTCCCTCCCTCCCTCTCTCTCTCTCTCCCTCCCTCTCTCTCTCTCTCTCTCTCTCTCTCTCTCTCTCTCTCTCTCTCTCTCTCTCTCTCTCTCTCTCTCTCTCTCGCTCTCTCTCTCTCTCTCTCTCTCTCTCTCTCTCTCTCTCTCTCTCTCTCTCTCTCCGCATGCATATCACTTACGGCTGGCAGTGGCGATGGCAGCTCCAGATGATCACCAGTGCCGTGGTGTCCCCAGGTGACAGTTGCATTGCAGTAGGTACGCAGGTACCAGTACAGACCCTTCGCCAGGGCCACACCGTTTGTACCGCACAACTCAATCAGGCCAGCTGGAGACTGACGCAATTCAAACGTATCATTCTCCCCCGCATTGGCCTAGCAATCACGACACAGATCACGCATCACACAGTGGATTGAGGAGCGGAAAAAGTAACAGTTGCTGTAACGCAATGCCCAGTCTCAGTGGCTGTGCAGCAATGATATCTGCAGTGCTGGGGTACGAGTGTGTTGAGCATTGATGTATACGTGCATGGCTATGAATTTTGCATCCCTGACAAGGGGGATGATGAAGCATACAGCACTAGTTGTAGGGTTATCACCAGTCCTAAGCATGTTCATGCATGGGATTGAACTCAGGAGCTAGTGAGCATGCTGTGGCTTGGCCTCGTGGTCAGAGTGCGTGCAGGGTTTAGCCGCGGCATTCACACCTTGGGACATAGCATGTATACATGTACGCCACACAGCCGGTATGTTGCCATGCTAGCTATAAGACCATGTGCCGAACCATTGCTCACGAGCTGGACCAATGCAGGTTACCGCTGGGCATGCCAGGGCCCCGGTCACCATTATCCATAGCATCATTGTTGCAACGCTGCACACAGCCTAAGCCAAGTGCTAGGGGTTTCTTTGATTGCTGGAGGAGTGAACGTGTGGCGCGGTTCTGTCCCGAACAGGAATCGGCTAGTCTTAGTATTATGCAGGGGCGTCGGAAGGTATTTTAGTGTGGTACGGTCAGCCATCTGAAGTCTGATTTACTCTGGGGGGGGGGGGGGGGTGGCTGAGCGGAAAATTTTGGAAATTTAGAGCCCAAATCAGTGCATTTTATTGATTCACAGGGTACTTGGGGCAAATAGTGGTACGGTCGATACCGTAGTGACCGTACCGTGTCCGACGCCCCTGTTATGTAATAGCAGATGAATACAATCATGTCCACTGGTCCTGTGAGCATCATGGACCATGCTACTCAGATCGATTAGACTACTACTGTAGTACAGCAGTTCTGGCCAGAGAAATTCGACCTCGTGAATCAAGTAGCGCGGCGTTCAAGTGCACAGAACAGTGTGTGCAGTCCTAGGCTAGGGCTGCGTATCGCCCAGCAACGCTATTTATTCATGAGGTTGGATTTCTCTGGTCAGTACCATACATACTGTATTTTCCCCAATAAATGTACAGTACTTTTATTTTTTCAAAGGTGGTCAGACCTGTACTACTATAGGAGACTGTACTAGTATTGGAGACGTGTACTTTTATTGTTTCTGGAAAGATTGATTGCCTGGGTTGGGTGGCAAACAACATGATTGTGATAATGATGCTGTAAGGCTGTAAATGCACCCAACCATGGTAAGAATCAGGGGACAAAGACACAATGACGATGAACGGGTAAGAAAAACGAAGTAAGGTGGACCCTGGTATCTGTACCCCACTAATGCCCATCATATCATTCCGGCATGTACTACTATTAGAGACGTGTCCTTTTATATTTTCGATCCACACCCAACATGTACTACAATTGGGGACGTACTAGTAATGGAGACGTGTACGTTTAATGGGGAAAATACGGTATGTCCATAGTACTATTCAGTGACTTTTCTAGTCCCCTGTTTCCCACATCCCATCCACATCCACCACAAGGCCTTAAGGATTAGGTGCATCTGGCGAGCTATGTATGATGCCGAGGCCTCCAGGTCGGCTAAGCTTCACAGGTCCCACCCACTCTACAAGTATCTGCTGGAAAATTATGTACTCTTAGTCTTACACGCAGCTTCTAATCGTCCATGCAGCCTGCAAAGAGTGTTCTTTTGCAGAAAACAATTACCGTTATCTGGCAGAGCTGGAACTTGCCCGTGTATTCTTCACCCAGCACTCGCTGTATGACACCATAACCGGCTGCTTCCATTGGAGTTACCGTCGGCACTTCGTCAGCCACTGGCGCTGCGGCTTTGGCACGAGGTCGAGGGTGATGCGGGTCGCGATGGAATCCCGCTGCACTGCCCAAGTCGACTCTCAGCGCGACAAACACCAGCAGGCAGGCAATGCCCGCAAAGGTCCTGTACCCCATGATCCTGCACAAGCCGCACCGAAATTCCGGTGATCAGCAAGTCAAACTGAAAGGGTACAAACCAATAAACCAATAAACTATGAGCTAAACGAGCTCGGAAGGACTGTACCGGCAGTGACGAGGGACAACGTAGCAAATCTCTCCAGCTGCTTTGAGACCTGCTCTCAGCATGCTGGGCAGTGGCGTTAGGAGATGCCATCACAGTTGCCAGTCGATACGTCGTCCGCACAGCCATGGCCTGTTTCTGCTCGTCAATCCGAGTCCCTGTCAGGGCCGAGGTAGCCGTGTCACGAGGCCGGACAGGTGACTGGTAAGTGGTTTGGCATTTCGACGCTAACTGAACCGTCAACTGATATCCTTCATTCACCCCAGACGTCTGACTCATGCTCAGTGCTGCATCCATAAACAGTCGAGTTGTTCTTCGCCGTTTTACTCTCCATACTCGACTCATAGATCTAGTCTCACTCACTGACTGTGACTCGAGCGAGATCTTGCATGGCGCCACTTTTCGAGGGTGCCAGTTCTCCTCGTCCTGTCTCGATCTCCTCTCACAAATCGTAAAAAATAATAATCTTGGTGGTCAGTACGGGCTAGATAAGCCTAAGCGCTCTAGCAGATCAGAAGAAGAAGCGCGAGCTCGATTACAACACACTTGAGCCTACATGTTCACCTGGTACACAGCCGAAACAGACCCGAGTCACACCCTCACACTCGATTCGAGACGCCTGAGTCGATCGAGTCAGGCGCGATCACGTGATCAATGTCATTTCAATCAAATCAAGGAGTCGTCAAACAATGTTCATGATAATGAAACATACCACCGAAACGTTCTTTGGCAAGTAATTTACTAATAGTAATAGTTAGTTTTGGACTTTTGGTGATCACAGTTTCAGGTCGTACCGATCGTCTGTGTATCAGTCAGCAAATTGTTGTTTCGTTATAAATTACAACCTGGCTGTGTTACAGTGATGGATAGGGTATTTTCATTATTCCCGACTACGTTCCTGCTAGTGCTAGTTGCTACGGCGTGTTGCTCCTGGTCGTCAGTGGGTAGCGAGCACATCGCTGGTTCAAATGCGGAGCCCGCAGCGCCCGTGGCTGAAGGAGTACCAGCAATATCTCCAGCGGAGGCGGCTGGTTATGGTGTCATACAGCGAGTGCTGGGCGAAGAATACACGGGCAAATTCAAGCTCTGCCAGATAACGGTGAGACCGTTGAGATAGTTATAATTATGACCTCCATGATCCACAAGAAGCGAGCCCATAATACGTTTAAATTAGGAATGCAAAGAATTATCTGTATGAAGACAAGTAGGTGGAAAGCAACGTAAAGGGTCCGCCGTAAATAACCACATTTTTGGAAACAAAGAATTGTAATTAGGGAGAGGAGGGGATTCGAGGCGTATTCGCTTCATCAATGAGTTGAAGAAAATGTTGACATTTAAAATCGATATACCGTATTCTCCGCAGTATAAGCCGAACCCAGTTTTTTTTTTGCCGCGAAATACAGACATCTCCATTTTATCCCCGTTAATTTTACCATCGTAAGCCGCACCAACGTTTTTGGGGTGAATTGCTGGCGTTTAAAGTTAAAGTGCGGCTTATGGTCCGGAAAATATGGCAATCTGCAAGTATAGCAACGCAATGGTCAGCATACATGCGTATGTTTGTTAGGGGAGGGGATATGAAGAGAAATTACAAAACGCAATCTTGAAAATCTCATATCGGTGCTAACGGGCGGGCGGTCCTTAACCAGCATAATCTATGCGGCATGTTGCTCACTTTTAAGCATACCATGGTATGCAGTGCAGGGGCATACCATGGTATGCAGTGCAGGGGCATACCATGGCATGCAGTGCAGGGGCATACCATGGTATGCAGTGCAGGGGCATCGAACACGCAACAGTCACTACGGTATTGATCGTACATGTACAGTCAGACCTCGCTTATCCGGTCCTCGTTTATCCGGATCCCTCGCCATCCGGAAGAAAATCGTTGGTTACCAATTTACAGCATATGCCATGCTTACATACAGTATGTGTGTTCGATTATCCGGTTCCCTCGCCTATCCGGACAATTTTCAACGGTTGAAAACGGTTGTGTGCGGTTATGCGAGGTCTGACTGTACCACTCTTTGTCCCCAGTACCCTGTGAATCAATGAAAAGCACTAATCTGGGCTCTAAATTTCGACTCTTTTCAGCGGAGCCATCTCAACCCCACGAGTAAATTCACGGACGGTACGTCAGATAGCTGGCCGTACTACCCTAACATAACTTCCGACGCCCTTGCATGTGTCGAGTCAGCGGTTTGTGTGCACTACCGCACAGGTGCTGCTACCAATAAAAAAAATGATGGGCCGTTGCTAATCCCTACCGCCCGATGAGCCTCCCTTTGGACAGGGTCCATAAGAAGAAGCTCGGACAAGTGAAAACCATACTTTGCTGCATGCACATACCGTATTTTCCAGAGTACAAAGCGCACCCAGATTTTTGGCACGAAATACAGTCATCTACCCGATTTATTACCGTCAATTCGCGATCGTAGTAAAAGCAGCACCGGCTTTTTGGGGGTGAATTAGTGGTGTGTAAAGTGCGGCTTATACTCCGGAAAATATGGTAGTATCATGTCGGGACTGCTCTCTATACATACACTCATTGCAGAGAATGTTGTGAGGTTCACACATGCTCCGCTCAATGCACTAGATAGCCTATGTGTTCACTGTGAGCGAGTCCCACATAATAGGCGTGGGTGCGCCGTTGCAAGCGTGCCGCCGCATATGGTGTTCGGTCATGTCGGTCCATGACCAGAGCCAGACCTGCGTTTGGGCACCGTCTCTCAACCATGGGTCTCTGCCGAGATTTCATTGACGGCAAACATACCGTGAGTCAATCAAATGTCAAGTCGGTAGGGAAAGGTGATCTCAGTCCTACAGAGGCGAACAAGCAACCTTTCACCAACTCAACAAGTACCATCAATTTAAAAAAAAGTTTAACCTGAGAAGCTGAAGTCACGCAGTTTAGTTGTTAGGTTTGTGAATGATACTAATGTAGAACCATATGAATTTTTCCTTTCTGTTCTTGATTACTAGGCCAAGCCGGGCGAGAATGACACGTTTGAACTGCGTCAGTCTCCAGCTGGACTGATTGAGCTGTGCGGCACAAACGGCGTGGCCCTGGCGAAGGGTCTGTACTGGTACTTGCGTACCTACTGCAATGCAACGGTCACCTGGGGACACCACGGCACTGGTGATCATCTGGAGCTGCCGTCACCACTGCCAGCCGTACGTGCAGCAAGTGACCTAGGCTCTACAGGCTGTGACATTGGGTCGTTGTGTTTGTGTAATACAGTGTCATGTATACAGTACACTACTTGCATGTGCCAGTTTGCCTAAACTACATGCACCACTGGGACAGCTGTCTAAATGTTAACTCCGGGTATAGCAGCTAGTGTGGCCGGACCACTCTTCAGTCAGTCCACCATGTTTAGTAGTGAGGGGTGCAGCTATTTGTCAATAGTATTAATAATAATGCGTAAAAAAAGGTAAGCTGGTATACTGACCAGACCAGATCTAATGTATGTGCAACACATCTCTTAGCTACATGTACAGTACTATGATATTGTGATAGGAAAGACTCATGACTCACATTATTTCTGAAGGCAGCTGGGTGGTATATCCTTTCTAAACCATGCATTTAAAAAATACTCTAGTTTCGGGTCGTTTGATTTTAATGTTCCACTATGTAATGCTGTGGGCGGACGTGATTTTCATTATGCCCGTCTGTGCTCTTAGGTGCCGACGACCGTACGAGTGAGCAGCTCTGTGAAGTGGCGTTACTACATGAACGTCTGCACCGTGTCCTATTCGTCAGCATGGTGGGACTGGCGGCGGTGGGAACGTGAGATTGACTGGATGGCGCTGCACGGTATCAACCTGCCGTTGTCGTTCACCGGTCAGGAGTACGTCATTGCAGAGTACTACAAGAGTCTGGGAATGACTGAAGAGGAGCTGCAGGTTAGTGATACATGTGATGTGCCTACACAACCACAGTACACAGTATGTGCTTGCATAAATAATAGTACTTCATCTAAGAAATAAAATTGATTTGTGACCCTATGTATTAAACTCATGTGTTTGAATGTCGCTCTTTGACAGGCCTACTTCAGCGGACCGGCATTCTTGGCGTGGAATCGCATGGGCAACATTCGCGGCTGGGCCGGCCCGCTGACGCCGGACAATCGCAAGGCGCAGTTCATGCTGCAGCTGCAGAGTCTGGAGCGCATGCGTGCACTCGGCATGACACCCGTGCTGTCCGGTTTCTCCGGTCACGTGCCTGCCGCTCTGGAGCGTATTGTTCCCGGTATCAAGCTGACTGAGTCACGTGCCTGGGGAAGATTCAATGCAACCTACACGGAGGTGCGGCTTCTTGACCCGACCGACAAACACTTTGTACCGCTGGCTAAAGGGTATTATGAGGTAAGGACCAGACTGATCAGCAATTGGTGTGTGTGGCTGTTTGGGAAGAATTCTATGGGCAGTGTATGTACAAGTATGTTGTTATTAGATATTAATTAAAGCCTTGCATGTTGTTGGTTAACAGCTTGTTACAAGGTGTCCTCCGCCTTGTAACATGCTGTCAACCAACAACACGTATTTTGTTGTACGGCTGTGGTGTACCCAGGCTATGTGCAGGTGTGTATGTTTGGAGTGTAGCCAACTGTGCATCTCGCAATGGCATGTCGGCCTGTGTACATTCATGTCGATTCTGCGAGAACCCACAGTACGAATATTTACTGGACATGGATTCACCGCCCGACGGTGGACACCTCATTATTGACCATATCAGTCCCAACTGCTTTCAATCGACGTCCCATTGAGTTCTGCAGTACGCCTATAATGCCTGCTGGAGAGATGAGTCTGGTGACAAGCATGTTGGTAGTTGACAAGCTCCCCAGGGCTGTACTCCCATGATTTGTATACTGTTGTAATACTATCCGTGTGCAGATGCAAACCGAGCTGATGGGAACCGACCACGTCTACAATGTGGACACGTTCAATGAAATGCAGCCGTCCAGCTCCAACCCTCATTACCTGGCAAACACGAGCGCCGCCGTGTTCCAGGGCATGCGAGCCGCTGACCCGGACGCCATCTGGCTGATGCAGGGCTGGCTGTTCCTGAACGAGTTCTGGACAGCGAAGACTGTGAAGCCGTACTTGGATGCTGTGCCCAACTCTGGCATGATCATACTGGACCTCTACACGGAAGCCGCACCTATCTGGAGCCTTTACGAGTCTTACTACGGAAAGCCGTTTATCTGGTGCATGCTGCACAACTTTGGTGGACGCCGTTCGCTGTGCGGTAATCTGACTCGCATTGCGACTGGTCCAGCGTCGGATCGTGTGCGGGCTGGCAGCTCGATGGCTGGAATCGGGTTGACGCCAGAAGCCATCGAGCAGAACCCAGTCGTGTACGAGATGATGCTGGAGACTGGCTGGACTACTCAGCCCATCGACGTGCCAAGCTGGATCAGCAACTATCTGTACGGCCGGTACGGAGCAGCGGGTGGGAACACTAATCTCCGTGCGGCCTGGACACAGCTGGAGCACGCCGCGTATCAGTACAACTTCCCGCAAACGTATCTGGGAATAGTCCAGAAGTCGCCCGTGATTCCAAGGAACCGTTTAGAGGACGACTATGCCGAACCTCTCGATCCTTCAACTCTAGGCTATGTGAACGGTCTGGAGCTCGGCAAGGGAATTAAACCAGTGAAGAATTACAGTGACTATGGATTTGCGGGCGTCACTGCGGCCTGGCGGTTGATGGTGCAGGGTGCCGTGGAAACACAGGCAAGCGCCGGTGCGATCTCGGGACCGCTCAGTTACGACCTAGTCGACGTGGGCCGACAGGTTCTCGCTGCCGTCCATGACGATCTGGTCACGCTGTCGTCCGCCGCGTTCCTTCGTTGGAGCAAGCAGAAAACAAACAGCAGTGCTGACCTGGCCCGGATAGGCAAGGCATTGTTGACTATTGTGAAAGACTTGGATCAGCTGTTAAGTACGGACACTAACTATTTACTTGGCCATTGGCTGGACACTGCCAAGGATTGGGCAACGGATGATGCCGAACGCAAGCAGTTTGAGGCGAATGCTCGCTACCAGATCACACTGTGGGGACCCAGTGGTCAGATCAATGACTACGCTGAGAAGCACTGGGCTGGCCTGGTGGGAACCTACTACTACGGCCGCTGGAACCTGTGGCAGAAGACTCTGCAGACGGCCGTGGATACTGGCGTGGCGGTGGATGTTCCACGCTTCCAGTCAACACTGCTGGCATGGGAACAGTCCTGGTGCCAGGCCAACGGGTCCTACACGACAGTGCCCGCGCCGGGAGCGGTCAGCCTTTCTCAGCGCCTGCTCAGTACGTGGGCTACCGCATCCACGTCCGGTAAGTACGAGAGAGTCAACAACACGAACGTGATCGGTTTCGACATCCACGCTGGTCGTGCGCTCCTCTCCAAGGACATTGGGCAGATGAAAATGTTCTGCGACCTGGAGCCGTTGTGCGTGGGCTTCCTGTCCACTGGGTATTTGAAAACCGCACTCACCAAGCGCTCCGCTCATCCAAACTGTGACTTGTACGTAAAACAACCGCAGACGTAACACTGTTTGGCATGAGAATGTACTGACCAGCAAGCTCATCCACCCTTGTCAGTGAAACATTTCCAGACCTCTTGTTTCTTGAGGACTCGTTTGTTTGTCGAGTCTGGTAGTATCATTCTGGAGCTCACCATGATGCGCCACATAATACTCAACACTCATTGGCACGACCACAAAAAATGAAATTTTTCAGACGTCGGCACACACACTCTCGGAGTTGCAGACTGAGTACGCACATGCCACCCTTGCAAATGCCACACACCGCATGCGCGGCTGTAGTTGATCTGATGGGAATCCATCCTTTTTTTGGCCAATTTATTCGATGATACATGTACTGTACAACAGGTGAATTTCTCCGTTGGAGTTAAGCTTGTGTTCTCAGGGGCGTCACAGGGTGGCTGGGAGTGGTACGACCGGGGGTCCGGGGGTGTCCCCCGGAGAAAAAAATAAGGATTTTTCGGCTAACAGACCACGTTTTAGCACTCTACAGCCGCAAAGGAGGGTTCCCCTAGCACTTATTCGACAACCCCACTCCAGCTCCAAAAACATACTTCTCATGGATTTTTGGTATTTTCTGTACATCGTAGGTAGCCAAGCAAGGCAAATGGAACCCATTGATTCAATGATTCAGGGCCATTGCCCTCGAAAAAATCGCAAAATCCGAAGTACCAGCGTGCTGAGCGTTCTAGCGCCAGCGGCTAGCTATGCAAAAACGTACATGTATGTCGTGTCCTGCAAAAGTCTGCCGCGTCGCGTACACTATGTACACGCCCGGCCTGGACAGTCGCAAACAATTTTAGTTGTTTTTAGAGAGAGAAGAAGATCCTTTGTTTTTGTTCGGTGGGATTGAAAGATCTGCCAGTGGACCGGAGAGCTACAACAATGGAAGCAGAAGAAAGCGCTTGCGGAATCTTCTCTGTCTTCGTGGCAACAGGACTTTAGTTTGCGAGAGACTTTCATCCTGTCGTCGCGGACGAAATTCTTGTTGCTGCTACCGGAAAACTCGCGGGGAACGAAACGATCGTAAATCGTTATAATATAGGTGAAGCGGGTCGTGTCGGTGAACAGCTGCAGAATATTCTGCCGCCGTGGAGCAGCAGTCCAAACACTTTTCAGCTTCGGAGAATGAAGCGCTTCCCTTTTCCGTTGACAAGCGCTGCGTTCGCGGGTGTAATGCATTTTCGAATCCGCTTGCAGTAGATCGTCAGGAGCCAGAGGTACTAGGTAGGTGTCGTTGTGGAAAGAATATAATTATTATGTTGTAGCTGACAAGTGACATACATGTAGTGTCTCTTGACGTGCTGATCGCCATTGTAACATGGTAGATCTTGGAAATTTTTAGTTCTGGACCCAGTGATTGCCGCCAGCTCAGCTCTGTTTCCGTCAAGTTTGCAGTGAATGCGTCCGTGAGGAATCCATCGTCTGGTTGTCTCTAACCGTGACTCCAACCGCCTATCGTAATGGATAGCCGCCTGGAGTCTTGGGCAATAGCTAGCTGCTAGTGCTAGGCATCAAGTCTGTATGCTCCTTGCAATGAAAGTAACCAGGTAACAGTTGCGATGTTTTGTACAAGTCCGAAGATCCTTGAATTTTTTTATTGCTTTTTCGGATGAATTGGGTGGACCATCCTGGACGAAAAGTGGTACGACCATGGTCGTAGTGGTCGTACCGTGTGTGACGCCCCTGGTTCTTGCACCAAGTACTTCAAGTATTAGTGCACTGTCCTAAATATAGTTAAGTACTATTCATTCGTCCATGTGCGGTTTACAAGCCCACGCCAGAATGGACCCACTGCGCAATGACGTAAAAACACCCTCCACAGCCAAATATGGAATGCATGAGTAATGCTTGTGAGTATGCTGGGATCAGGAGTGCACTGTTCAACACCCCAGACGACCCCCCCCCCCCCCCCCAGGTGGCTGTGAAGGGTGTTTTGGTACACATTACGTCATTGCGCAATGGGTCTATTCGTAGTTGGCATTTTACAGAACTTGATTTCAGATTTTCTGAGAACGCTTCTGCCAGTGGTAATACCACTCTTGCTGGGTATTCTGTCGTCGTGCAGTTTATCTGTGAAACATCTCAATAGGCTCTTGCCTACTAACACACCACAGTGTGTTTCAAATAGCTTCAATTTCAGCCTTGTTACAAGCCAGGTGGAGTATACATGTACGGGAATATTAGAGAGGTTCTGCACAACGAAAGTTCGAACGAAGTTTCGCGACAGGCCTTGCGAAAGTGTGTACGAATTTTCGCACGAACTTTGTGTTCTGCACATTTTCGTAGTTTGCACGCGCCAAGTGCACGTACGACATGACCCAATCTCACGAAACTTCCTACGAAAGTTCATTTCGCGTTCTCTGCAAGTTTCGCGTCCAAAGTTGCGAAAGTTCGTGCGAAGTTTCTCACTTCGTGACGTAGAGCGAAAGTTCGTACACATTTTCGTTTTGCAGAACCTCTCTAATGCCGAGGAAATTGAGTTTTTCAATTAGATTTGTAAATACTTGTTAATGTATCAGCTCAAGAACTTAAACCAGAATGGTCACTGCAGTACATCTGTGCTGGTACGCAGGTCTCGCTCAGTCTAGGTATGCCTGGAAGTCAAACACGACCAGCCCCCAACGTCGATGCCAGCCAATGCACCACTTCAAAATGCATGCATGCATGTGTACTGTGTAGAGAGCACAATGCCGAGGTGAAGCGACACCGCCGCACATCGTATCAGCAGGGAGTAGTAAAATACCAGGTATTTTACTACTCCCTAGTATCAGCCGGATGCTGGTACTGTGAGTGTCATGCACGTCCAGGTGGCATCAGCTGCTCGGCATGCTGCAGGTAACCAGGGTAGTCCTCCTTGGCCGCCTCCACCTTGGACAGGTCCAGCGTGACTACGGTCAGTGGGTCGGTGGTCTCCAGGATCACCTCACCCTGCGGTGACACGACTAGTGACGCTCCACCGCACGGCGTGTCCAGCTGTCCCGTTGACGGCCGGTTTACGGACACCACGTACGCCGCGCCGGTCAGCGCGGCGGCCCGCAGCACTGGCTTCCAGCGTTTCTCGTAGCTAGACAGCGGCGTGGCACGCGGGTGCAGCAACAGCTGGACATTCTGAGATGCAAGGTAGGCTGCTCCGGCCGGACGCATGATGTCTGAGCACAGCTGAACGCCGATCTTCCAGCAAGGCGAGTCGACGGCGGGACTGAAATCAAACGCAACTGGAAGGTTAGCGGATGGCGAGTAGTGGCTGGCCTCCCAGTAACCGGCTTCCTGCGGTAAATGAACTTTGGCGTACTGCGCGTGCGCCACACCCTGACTGTCGAACAGCCACGACGTGCTGTCGCAGTGGCTGACATCAACATGCGAAGCATCCACATCGCGGCTATAGGTAATTGCACCACCGATCAGTGCAATACCAGCCTCGCGAGCACAGCGAGAGAGACAGGCTTGCCGATGGCCATCGTTGATCACCTCTGCATTGCTCACATCAAACTCCTTGCTCACCGCCATCCAGCTGTTCAGGGGCAGCTCGCTGAGAACCGCCAGCGACGCGCCACGTGCCCGCGCCTCTCGAAGGCATGAGAGGAGCCGTGTCTCGGCGCCGTCGCCGAAAAATGCGTCATGGACAATCGCCAGACGCAGCGGGGTGCCGTCATTCGTACACTGTGCTGGCGCTGTCATTGTGATTGAATACCAGCAGTCGGTGTCTTCTTGCTATCCGCTACTAGTATATCACTGTGTTGCACGACCTGTGATGTAATCACCATAGAGATACAACAGTGTAAAACCAAAACAGTGTGGTCTGAATTCCAACAGTCCGTTACAGGGAGTACTTACTAACTAGGGTGTTTTCCTCAAGTACATACCGTAAAGTACCGCGAGAGCGCCCCCACCTTGATTTTACAGCCAGGGAAAGGAAAATCGTATGGCAGAGTGCAACGACGTTTATACGGTGTGAGAACCTTTGATAGTGTACTAAGGTCACACTTAGCATGTTTCTGTGTGGAGCTCGTGTCCGCTCGAAGGTACGGATTGACTACACAACGTGGAAGATGTGTACAAGGTTCGAATCGTATGACGTACAGACAAGACACCACCTCCACAATACGACCACGAAAGGACGAGATGGTGGGGCGCTCTGGCGGTACTTTACGGTACATGTACAATGTAGGTGTATTGAGCCTAACTACACTTTACCTTGCCACAGCAAACCATGTAATGGTGGGCACTGGGAATGCATACATGCATGTACTGACCGTAGCGGACATGGAACCTGTTTTATTAATTAAAAGAAGTCAAGCGGCCGCGGGGCGCTGGCCTTGCAGCTGCGAGCACTGCTGATCCATGTTTGCAGTGTGTACGTGAACTACATCAGAACCGCCAGAAGCAATTTTCAATCGGTCTGGTGTCTTTCATACGTTGTGTATAACATGGCGGGGACGTATGCCCTCCTCACCAGTAAACATGCGTTGGTAGCTACAAAGTTGGCCCGGTGTTAACCGGACCAACCGGACCGGTTCCGGCGGGCCTGTACATTGCATGTACGTGCTAAGGCCAGCCTCGTGGCCCAGTCATCCCATCGGATTTCAATGTCTACGGCAGTACAATGTGTTTACCATACTATAATCCTGCAATGGGAGACCACCTGTCCTTAGAGACCAGTCATTTCAAAGGCCATAGACAGTCGATCATGCATCCACATACATATCCAACCTGTGTACAACGACCACCTGTCAATACGGACCAGTTTTCTTTGCACCACGGGGAGGGTTACGAGTTTACACGTAGTCGGTACTAATGAGTAATGTGATTGGTCATATACACACATCCTTCACACTATAATGCTTTTTTATTGGTCGGGATCACCAGGTGACGCAGGGATCGGAACTAAGTGACTGTGAAGGATCGGTTTGTGATAATTATTATCAGGGCCGGCTACTAGTGTTTCAGAAAAAACATCGTACCTTGATGTAGCGACTAATCCTTCATCAGCGACGCAAAGCACAGCGCGTAGCGGAGTATCATTCACTGACTGCTAACCAAGGCAAGGACGACTAGTCTACAACCTTGTAACTAAGCTTGTAATAGCATGACATTTAGACATGATTAATTTTAGTAGCCGAGACCTTTCCTACAAAATCATCGGCGAAGTGACAAGTCGCTACTATCTCGTACTGTTGTGCCTATGCGACTAGTTGGTGTGGAGGTGACCGCGTTGCGAATGATCGAGGGTGCGGGTCCTCACTACGCGGTATATGGCGTCTCGCGTCTGTCCGGCTTCTACCTATCCACGTACGAGTGACATGACATGACACCGACTCACGGCGTCACCATGGTCACGTTGCTGGCACGTACATGGTGAGAATCACGGGGTGTTTGTCGCGCTGGAAACGGAGCGTTTCTGTAAGTTTGTATCCCTGGTGATCTGGTGATAATTTGGCCTGGAGTCGAGAACACTACAGTCTACATCATGCTCTTTACTTCAGTCTAGATACAATCTTCCTCAGCCTACTCAAGCTCAACTGATGAGGGGTGTCTCCATGGTCTCTAGCACGACAGTCCCTGCCCAATTGCTCAGGACCCTTGCACAAAACGCTTGTAAACCACTGACTCTGTCGCTTCGGCCAGTCAGGTGTTGGAAGTTCCGATCTTACTAGTAATTGTAGGTTGTGCACATGCGCATGAACTACGATTGTGCACAGAAACGATGTACAGAGTGATATACGCAGCCTGTGTTACTGTTATGTCATGACCCCGGTGACCACCAGTGCAAGGAAATAGTATCAATATAGGACCGGTGGAAGCAGTTTCTTGATTGGTCCGGTAGTATCATCGCCTTCCATACTTTGTGTATGATATGGTGGGTACACATGACCTCCGCAGTAGGAAACATGATTGTATTGGTGGCCGAAAAGTTGGTCCGGTATTAACCTGACCAACTGGACTGATTCCGGCGGGCCTGCAATAGTGTCCGGGCCAAATAGTTATAGAGGCTATGCGATTATGTCATCTTTCACGATGCTCTACATGTATATGCAGCGGCATCCCAAGCACTGGTCTGCCACTAGTGCACTCAATTAGTACATTTACAATGACATCATTCGCACAGCTTGTATTCACGGTTCTCAAGCGACGGGAATGAATCATCTAACTCCCCCCCCCCCCCCCCCCCCACCACCACCACCAGCGTCACGTCAGAGAGAACCGATCGAAACGAACTGCACAAAATAAATATTTAACCGTGGGGTAAATATCAATACAATTCTGGCATCTGATTCTGAGGACTGTTGGTGAACTGACGTGGCCGGCTACTACTAGGTGTACTTTGGTGAGCGTTGCTAATAACACTGTGAGAGGGAGAGCCAGTCAACTAAAACGTGTCTAATTTGGTGTACTAAGTTGGCTTCATTAGCTTTATCAGGGACAGCGTTAGTCAAATAAACTCTGGTTATTCGGCACACTAACGATGACCTTGTAGATTACGTGTAATATTCATTGCTCTGGGAAAACATGTAACAATGATGTTGATTTTAAAATTGTACCTAAACATCCCGCTCACGGTGCTCCTACTCGCACTCCTGTGCATGCTGGCGTTGTCGCAGGCTTCTCTCAGAGACGACTCGTCAGCACGTACAGATCGACGCCAGCCTTGGCAGTCGGGTAGGATACGTTCGACTTCAGATAGCCGTCGGTAGTGAAGCCCAGGCATGCAGTATCGTAGTAGCAGAGCAGCATCATCTGCTCAAGGTCGCCGTGGGATTTCAGTGGCGCCGCGTGTAAGCTATGGCCGGTGATCGTCTGGCCGTGAAGTACGATCTTGTACTCCGCCTCGGTTGGCTTCCTCGCCCACGTGTTCATGTAGTGCTCGGAGATCGCCACCACATCCTCACCGCCCGGCTCGGTGCTGTAGTGCTGCGATGACTGGTACCACTGCTCTTCAAACTTCATCTGCCGGTCATAGTAGGCCTGCAAGTCCGGCGGCGTGTTTGTGTGGACGGCATTGAACACGGTGTGCGCCCAGGTTTCCCACCTGGCACGGTAGTACGTCTTGACCAGGCCGGCCCAGTGCTTCTCAGCGTAGTCAGTGATCTCCCCGTGAGGACCCCACAGCGTCACCTGGTTCTTTGCATTCATCATCAAGATAGCGCGTTCCTCGTCCGTCGCTCCCATCGAGTACGCATCCTCCACCCACTTGCCCAGTAAGAAGTTTTGATCATTCGCCAGCAGGTGATCCAGGTCGGCCAGGATATCTAGCATCGGGCGGAACAGGACACTGATCTCCTGACTCGTGTTGGCACCGGTCTGCAGCCAGCGCTTGTACGCACTGTCGATCAGCGTGACCATATCGGCGTGCACATCGACAAGAACCTGGCGTCCGATGTCGACCAGGTCGTAGCTGAACGGGCCAGTGGGCATGCTGTTGGACTGCGCGCTCACGAACAAGCCGGCACTGATCATTTCACGCCAGGCAGCCGTCACCGCCGAGCAGTTGTATAATGACTGGTTGTCCGGCGGCACTGACGGATGTCCTCCGTAATGCAGCATGGCCTTCTGATCCTGATCCATGGTCAGACCATGCGGACCGAGAGACGGGTAGAGGTGCATAACGCCTAGGAAACGGTACGGCCAGTACAGGCTATAGACGGACGACTCCAGAAGACGCCACGCTCGCTTGACCTGCGGCAAGTGGCCCGCGTGGCGGTAGCGATTGCCAACGTACCCGTCCAGCCACGCCTGGACGTCGATGGGCGAGTTGTGCCACGCCGTATCCAGCATCAGCTCGTACATGACCGGGTTCTGCTCGATGGCCTCCGGCGTCAGGCCAATACCGACCATGGAGCTGCCTGGGGTGTTGAGAGCATCGTGCGGCGCGTGAGCAATGTGACTCAAGTTGCCGTTCAGGTCCCGTCGTCCGCCAAAGTTGTGCAGCATGCACCAGATGAACGATTTACCGTAGAACGAGCCCAGGTTCAGCCAGAGCGGCACGACCTCGGCGTACAGATCTAGAATGATCATCTGGGAATCCGGGACGGGACTGAGGTACGCCTGCACGGCCGCCTCTGTCCAAAAGCCAGAGTTGACGAACAGCCAGCCTTGCATGACCCAGACTGCTTGCGGGTCGGCCGCCTTCATCCCGTTGTACACGGCCGCACTGGCATTGGACAGGAACTCAGGATTGTGGGTCGGTGGCGACATCTCGTTGAAATTGTCGACATTGTACACGTGATCCGTGCCCATCATTTTCGTTTGCAGCTGTCACACGTCAGGACACACAACAAAGAGAAACAAACTCTAGTTAAAGGATGTCCAACAGTCCTCACTGGCCAGTCTGCTCAGAAGAAAACAAAAAAAAGAAGGTGCATGCAACCAAGTGGGACGGGGATACGCAAAGCTCATAGGAGCTCATAGGAGCTCATAGGAGCTCATAGGAGAGTGTGTGTGTGTGTGTGTGTGAGAGAGAGAGAGAGAGAGAGAGAGAGAGAGAGAGAGAGAGAGAGAGAGAGAGAGAGAGAGAGAGAGAGAGAGAGAGAGAGAGAGAGAGAGAGAGAGAGAGAGAGAGGAGAGGAGAGAGAGAGAAAGAGAGTGAGAGAGTGAGAAAGTGTGTGTGTGTGTGGGGGGGGGGGGGTAAGGGAGTGCTAAGACAAACCTGTCCCACCCCACCCGTGAGACGCAGAGCAACGTCTCAGTGATACATCCCCAACAATGGGTACATGATTTACCTCATAGTACTGCTTGGCCAACGGCAAGAAGTAAGGATCAGTGGCATCAATGATATGAACACCGGTATAGGTGGAGTTGAAGCCCACCCACCCGCTGGAGCTCCGAGTCTGGATATGCGGGTAGATGCGCTTGATGGCAGCAGGAATGTGGCCGGAGAAACCGGGCAAGATGGGCGTCATGCCCAGGGCTCTCATGCGCTTCAGAATGAGAAGCTGAAGGCTGAACTGCGACTCGCGGAAATTGGGCAGCAGCGGGCCACCCCACTTGCGCAGGTTGCCCATTCGATTCCATGCCAGAAACGCTGGACCAGTGAAGTAGTCCTGAAAATACAACATGGGACAACATCATAAATCCATGAGCACGCACCTCACATGATCACAAACCCGCTTGATTGGCCACACTGCCGTCAAGCTAGGTTAAAAAGGTATGGGACCCATAGTCCGAGGAAAACCGGTGTCAGCCGATTCAGACTGTGCAGCAAGGAAGTGAGCATTGGGACGTGAAGACAGCAAAAAAATCAGCCACCAGTCGGTCCATTCACAATGTGAGAGGGGCGGATATTCTTTGGCATCGGTTACGATCTACTTATAATCCAAACATAAAGACACAAGAGGACAAGAGAAAGTAGGGTTGTTTGGGTACCTCTTGTACACTGCAGCCTGCCCATCACTGGCACACTGCTTCTGTGTAGAATCCAACATCTATAGAGATAGAGTTCAGGGGCGTCGGAAGGTATTTTAGGGTGGTGCGGTCAGTCATCTGAAGTACAGTTTACTCGTGGGCGAGGGATGGCGGAGGCGAACATTTTGGAAATTTAGAGTCCAGATCAGTGTATTTTATTGATTCACGGGGTGCCCGGGGCAAAAGTGGTACGGTCAATACCGTAGTGACCGTACCGTGTCCGACGCCCCTGGAGTACAGTCAGACCTCGCATAACCGCACACATCCGTTTTCCACAAAAATATCCGGATTCGGCGAGGGAACCGGAAAATTGAGCACACATACTGTATGTATGCATGGCATATGCTGCAAATCGGTAACCAACGATTTTCTTCCGGATGGCGAGGGATCCGGATAAAAGAGGACCGGATAAGCGAGATCTGACAGTATAATGCAGTTAGTTTTCAGCTCATCCTGTAGAGTTAGAGACTACTGAGCGAGCTAAGGCTGTGCGGCATTCTGGCCACTCCAAGCTGCTGCCAACAAATCTGGAAATGCCTAGCTAGCTGCTTGATTAAAAGATTAAAAAAACACGACTCGTGCAAAGCACATCCACTAACCTGCTGTTCGTCCGGAGTCAAGCCCAGCTGAGTGAAGAACTGTGCAAGAACATGTTCTTGGCCGGTGAACGCCAGAGGGAAATTGATACCGTGCAGTGCCATCCAGTCAATCTCACGTTCCCATCGTTGCCAGTCCCACCATACTGACGAATAGGACACGGTGCAGACGTTCATGTAGTAACGCCACTTCACAGAGCTGCTCTTGCGCACGTAGAACCCCTTGGACTGGATATACACATAGGCACACATGCACGCACGCAGAAGAGGCACATGCACAATCTAATATAGCCCTAGGCCAGCAGGCAAGCAAGCAGAGGATGGTCATATGCCCACTAACCACGCTGTACTGTATACCTAAACTCACAACAATTCCATATCTAACAACACAGGAACTGATAACAAGATACTGCACATCAATGTGAACAGACGAATGACAAAGCGCGCGCAATCGCTCTAATTTTCTGGTTTTACTTCACACAAATACAGGGTTTTTTTCCTGGCTTTGATGCAAAGGTATCCTGACAGAGCTGCTGCCATCACTTACCCCAGGCAGTGGGATTGGCACGTTGATGTTGTCCCCAGAACCGCGGCGTCCCCACGTCATTGAGGAGTTGCACACAACGCGTAGGTAATGGTACAATCCTCTGGCGATTGCGACGCCCGAGTTTCCGCACACCCACACCTTGCCCGGTGATGGAATGTTCACTTCAAACGTGTCATGTTGGTCGTTACTGATCTGTAAGTTTATACACACGGAGAGAGAGAGAGAGAGAGAGAGAGAGAGAGAGAGAGAGAGAGAGAGACGCACACACACACACACACACATACGTGCACAGAGAGAGTGCAATGAAATGCTCGTTAACATTATATCCTAGGGGACTGGCTAGACCTCATGGCCTTCTCCTGCGATGTGAACAAGCTTACACAGCAGTGACAGCACCGTCAACATATTTTCAAACTTTTGAATCAAGAGGATTCATGGGAGAAACGTTTCTTGAATGTATCCCTCACTGTACAGTTTTCTCGGAGACACTAATGCAATAAAAATCAAGCTCCAAAGTCTGGCCCTCTTCCGCGCCGTCGCTGCTCACGCCTACCTATACAAGCTCCAGTGCCTCCCAACTAGCTCGCCACTGTGAGCAATGATCCCTGCGGCTGCACCAGTGCTGTAAGGGCATCATCGCACTCGCCAGCAGAGCCGGATTGCAGTTTGCCATACCCCAAAAAACCGTCACTCACGCAACAGTGTACAGCGATCATTTCCGTCCGCTGCCACTGAGGAGTGGAATCGCCTTCCTCCAGAGCTTATCACAGGACCACCTGGAACGAGTGCACAAGTACCTGCAATCTGCCGACTGGCATTGGGCCGCTACACACCTGTAACATCACACAGCCGCACAGCTGATTCACCATGGCGACTTGCCCATCCTACCGTGCTGTCACCGTTTACCTTTTACATGTAGTGTGTCACTTGCTCCTCAGTGCTCACGTTCATTTTCTTTTCATTTAGCTTTTTTCTGCCACCTTTCGTTTTCCACTGATTCTTTTTCTTTTCATTTACCTTTTTCTGTTTGGCGCGCAAGAGTGGTGTTGATACCGAGACCCGTGGTCGGTTTAGCCGCTTCTGCCCGGCCTCCACTGCTTCGGTTGCCATCGTGATGTGCCTCTCTGCTATCTCTTGCTGGCACTTAGTTTGCACCATGATGGTTTGTGGCTACAGTGAAACCTGTCTAAGGCGACCACTCAAGGGACGAGAAAAAGTGGTCACCTTGGCCAGGTGGTCTTCTTATCCAGGTTCAGTGGGTCACGTGACTATATTCACAATATACACGTGACATATCATTTTGATCAGTGTATATATCACACTGGACACACCTATGCTACTATGCATGACTCATGAGTCATGTGCCTGGGGGCCTAAGACTAAGAGTAAGACCTGCCAAGTAAGTATCCTGCATGCGCCAGGTGCATCTCCGTTTCCTGCGCTGATGTGTAGATCTTCAATGCATGGTGGATCTTCAATGCATGGTGGACAGTGCAAGGCATGCATGTTAATGTACAGTCTTGTAGCAGTGTGCAAAGCGGTCGCGGGTGGGTGGTCGTCGGTCGCGTTGAGCGAGTGGTCGCCTTATCCGAGCTGTTTTGAATGTGAATGCGTCCGTGACAAGGAAAAGTGGTCGCCATATCCGAGTGGTCGCCATTACAGGCTTTACTGTATCTTGTAAAAAAAATAAAAAAAAGGTCTGCCCTAGCGACGGCATGAAAAGGGCATTTGCAATCTGTCCACTTGGAAAACAAGATTCCGCGCCTGCGGTGATTTACGCAGAAAGTCGCAAAAAAAGCAGCAGCATAGCGATTGATTTTGGCAAATTGTTGTAGGGTGCAAGTCACAACTAAGTTACTTGTGACTGCGACGGATAGTGTGAAAATTAGTCCTACATGTCGCCAGGCTATCGCCAGGGTTAAATCCTCTCAAGTTCGCAGTAAGGGTTGCAGATTCGTCAATACATGTACATACATACTGAAGAAATGATACGGAATGATTCCATTTTCCCGCGGAAATTCCCGCGGAATTTATAATTATAATAGCCCTTTTTTTAGGGAAAAGCAAAAATTAATGCTGGCTTCACTCGGTGCAGAACACATTCCTTTTGGATTCTGGCCGAGGGAGGTGTTGGCCATCGACATCTTTATACCTTTGACTTGAGTTTGAGTGTTCACGACGTGAAGCTAGCTGGATCTCTCGTCATCACGTGATCAAATCTTGTACGGTACCGGTATGGCCCTATGGGACACCGGGTACAGTGGGTAGATGTGACAGGTTCAAATAATTGCTTTCAACCAGTACTACTTCCTGCTTTCAACTAAATATTATTTCCATCTGAAATGTACTCCGCGGATATCATAATAATTATGGATGGTACGTACCGGCAGGAAACAGAATGTGAGCTTCTCGCCTGCTTCTTTGCCGAGGACTCTCACCGCGAGTGACTCTGCTGCACGCACAACATCTCCTGGCTCAACGTGGCCAGTGGCACCGTACACGGCCCTTTGTTCTAGCACAAGACAGCCACAAACGATGGCCAAGAGGAGAAATCCACGACCTGGCATGGTTGGTGAGCCACCACTGACCAACCGAACGACGTGATCTGACCTCGACTGGGACTTGTTTATTTTTTGTTGCTTTTTAATACCTTCTGCACCGCATTCACCGGTGCGCGGTACGCGTAGATTCTACGGCGCGCGGTGGCTAACGCGAACTAACTAACTAATATAATTACGGAGGATTAGCAAGACGAAATTCGCGTTCGCGTTCGCTCTCCAAGGAAAGTCGAACTCAGTGACGGAATGAGAAGGATTTAGCAAACAGACTTCGCAAATGCATGACGTTGACACTTCGTCGACCATTGTGTGCAGAGTCTGCAGTAGGCCTAGCCCAAATTTGCTCGGGGCGCTTCGATATTTTGCCGGCAAATTTTGCTCGATGACTTTCCATATTTTGCTTGGCATTGCCTTTCGTTTCCGATATTTTGCTCCATTTTGCTCCTGCTTTGTGGCAAAAATGGCTTCGAATGAACCGTCTACTTCGGTAAAAGTGGATGGTGACTCTGATGAGGAAAGCAAAACTTATAATGCGTCAGTATTACGGATTTGGTAGCATGATTTCAAATTTATGTACCACTGACAACCTGCACGAGTTATTTCAGCACGACGTTGGCCCAATGAAACCAAAAAAATTTGAATAAAATTGCCAAAACACACCCGGATCCTCTGTAAATTCGATATTTTGCTCGGAATTTGCCAGCAATTTCTTTCTGTTGGAAAATTCGATATTTTGCTGGAAGAATTGCCGGCAAATTTGGGCTAGGCCTAGTCTGCAGACAGTATAGCGTAGTAAATTTATGACTGTCCTGACACGAATCCGCGATTCGTGTTCCGACTACTTTTCCGAACGAAAAATGCGAAAGTTCGCAATCCAGTTTGCGAACGCGAACGCGAATTGCTAATCCTCCGTATGACTTTACTTTTTTTTCTGCATGTGCTGCGCAGCTAGCTGCGCGGCGAAAGTCAGCAGTCTTTTTCAAGTAAGTTTTAGGGTGCGTTCTTAAATTCTCTAGCTTCTAGGAGAAGAAGAAAAGAGAAGTCGAAGAAACTGGGATTCTTCAAGAACGGGTCTCGAAGAATTCGGAGATATTTTGCAGATGTCAAGCAAAATGAAGCGCCAAAGGGGCCGCGATCTTGAGTGCCACGAATATAGTATGCGCTGTGCGTATGCGAAAAGGGAAATGCGTACACTCATGATCAACACGTGGCTTTTAGCCTAGTTCGCATGCGCTGATCCCAAACCGCGGGAATCTCCAAGTTTCAACCACCTCTGAAGCTTGGAGAGCTTGGAGAGCTTTGGAGAGCCTCCTAAAATTCGGAGAGGATATAAGAACAGCTCTCGAACTTTTCGGAGTCTCCAACTTTTCCGAGAGGATTTAAGAACGCACCCTAAGTTTGAGACCGGATATTTGTTGTTGTTGTTGTTGTGTTTATTTCAATTCGCAAACCAAACGGGCAGATCTGCCCAATGAAAAGGTGGCGAATGCAGATCATGAGAAAGCAGTAATAAATGAAATTGGGGACTGATGTAATTAGGATAGAGGTGGAGAAAAACTAAGCCAGCTGATCATCAAACAGGACGTTTGGTACTCTAGGTACTAAGGGTGTGCGGGATCATGCTGGCGCGGAACTGGCGGAGCGTGGAGATGGCACGTATGTCACTGGGTAAGGTGTTCCACAGCTGGGCGCCCCGGAACGCGAGGCAACCCTTGCCGAACCTGGTGGAAGCTGGCGGTTGGCGCAGACCCATGGTGGAGTGCAACCTAGTTGGGCCAGCTGACGAAGGGACTAGGAGGGCTTGCAGATCAGAACTTGCGTGCCCATTCCGAGACCTCCAGACCAGAACGATGAACTTCTGCCTGAATATCTCGGATACTCTGTAGGTGTCCAATTGCAGCAGGAGGGTACGCGCGGAGGTGTGATGCGAGAGTCCGAAAACCGCCCTTGCCGCCCGATTCTGCATGACTTGTAGCCGATCCAATTGGTTGGCAGTAAGAAGCGGGGAAAACGCATTGGATCCGTACATCAGGTCAGATCGCGGATACATGCGAGGCCGAGGCGGAGGAGCCAGAAGATATCGATCGATCTGGCCGGTTCGTGAATGGCAGAGCGGCAGAGCCTGCCAGTATAGGCGTGATTTGCTAATGAATATGCCACGAGATGTGACCGTCGATAATGCAAGCTTGCAACAATACAATGCCATAGGTCGAGGGCGGAGCTAGCTATATAAATATATGCACCATGTGCTCATCATGTGATTGGGGTGGGGAGGGGGTGATCTACGCATGCACGACGGTGACAAGTCCATGAGTGTGTTATGGAGTTTCAATGGCATCAAGCCTAGGACTAGGAGTACAAAGTCATGATGGCAATCTTGGCAGATTCGCAGTGAAACTGAAACCACAACTTACTTCATTGTGTTTAGGGTACCCTGTAAGAAGACCTTGAGTCTGTGGGGACTGCCCTATTAAAATATGAATAAAATAATAATACTCAGATGTTGAGCCATAAATAAATGTAGAAAGGAAAGGGACATATAGATACGAGTTAAGAGTAACTCTCCATCACTGTAACTGGATACAGTCAGAAAGTGCAATAACTAGGCACAAAACTGACAAGAGTACTGAGACATTCGACGTCCTGACACCTACATGTAGCTTCAACACATCTCCGTAGCGCTAACCGACAGCCTTCCAACTTGGAAGGTTCAAGTTGGGACTGTAGCTTTTGCTCGTTTTCATTGCGCTTGCCTTCCCCTCTTTGGTCTTTCCATAACCTTGAACCTTCCAAGTTAGTTGGAAGGCTGTCGGTTAGCGCTACGGAGATGTGTTGAAGCTAGGTGTCCGGACGTCGAATGTCTCAGTACTCTTGTCAGTTTTGTGCCTAGTTATTGCACTTTCTGACTGTATATAGTATCCAGTTACAGTGATTACGAGTTACTCTTAACTCGTATCTACATGTATATGTCCCTTTCCTTTCTACATTTATTTATGGCTCAACATCGGAGTTTCAAATTGCACACCTGATGAGCCGTCACGAACCATACGGCGAATTAAAAAACGTACGTCGTGTGAAGCAACTTGTTTTGTAGTCAACTAGTCCATCACAATTATGTCATGCATGAGGAGTACTGTAGGAGTTTGGCTTTCGGCTTGTACAATTCGTTTTCGCAAAGCTTCCCCTTTCTTTACTAGTCTTATCTTTGATATTTATGACCCACCCAAGTTCACTACTACCAAAGGTAACGATTCTCACTCATTCTCAACGCTCAATAGGACAGTATACGTATCGATTTCTGTATAATGATTTCTATTTTAACGACAGATATTTCCTCGTTAAGGTGGCGCTACACCTTTCCGGCACCGCCCCATGCAAGCACACATATCTCAGCAATGGGTAAACAGATTCTTATAAAATTTTCAGCATTTACTCCTTGGATATACCCGTTTCAGAAACAGCAAACATAAAGCCAAAGATGCCATCTATCTACTGTTGGCATACATGTGACGGATCTGTTCGCAAAATCCGCCGAAAGGTTCGCCTGTAACCACGATATAGAAGACCATGCGTCCTATGCAATACAATGAGTGCCACTGGAGTGTCTCACACACACATGGCAAGACATTGAACCAAAGAAAGGGGACACCAGCAAAACAAGCCAGCAAGTGCAGGAGATTGAAAAAAAAGAACGATAAGCGCAAAAAATAACAAAAGGTTTGACCTGTGCTATCATGAGCATATGAAGAGCAGCCCTCTGAAACTTCGGTTCAATGTCTAGCTAATGCTTCACAGATTTCAAAAATGTATACTTTGTTGGGTCTGCAGGCCACGGTTATCTCAGTAGCTTGGTTAAGAGTTGCGGGAATAGCCAAAAAAAGGGGAAAAATTGCAGTATAATACATGTATTTACAATCTGTGTCCACCACGCCAGCTACTTTTTAGAAGGCCCCAGTCTCATAAGTGAGACCTTCGTCATCAACAGTCTGCTCCTCCACACCCTACCTCACTCTCCTTCGCCTCTTCCTTGCACTCTTCACTTCATCTGAGGATTTCCTGGCTGCATTTTTGGCTTGCTCGCGGTCCAACTTCTCAAGCGCTGTCCGCGTGTAGTGACCAGCTGTCAGGCCCATCGCTTCAAGAATCTCCTCCAAGACCTTGTTCTTCTCGTTGAAGCAAGCAGTGGCTATGGCAACAGCTGTCTGGACAGTCCTTGACGAGCAAAAGCCAGTCTTTGGACAAATCTGCCAAATGAGGCCATTGATGCACTCGTTCCGATTCTGAGTAGCGCCACGCAAGCATTTCTCGAGAAGTTGCCTCTCAGTCAGCCGCAAGTACACAGGCTTGATGACTTTGAAGACTGCATCCGGCAGGCTCTTCTTATGTTGGTATTCAGGGCCACCAGCTTGATGACTCTGCCACTTGCACCAACTATCTGGTCCAGGGGGGCAGAACTAATGCTGCGGCTTGTCATCTGTTGAAACACAATGCATGACCGGTGCCCATATCGCGCGTACCATGCCTTGCAGGTCATTGCCATGTCCACGTCCGTTGGCAGTATACTGCTCCCTGCTGATTTCATGTTTGCTCAGCTTCCTCTGGAATATTGTGCACTGCTGGCAGTGCCGGGAGAGGACTTCGTAGTCGATGACTTTGCCAGTATCCCACGAGATGGCAAGAAACGCTCCATGTAGCGAGGTAAAGCCGCGTCGCATCCACGTTCCGTCGTAAGTGACGGCAATATCAGGGGAAGACGCCAACTCCTTGGCATCCGCAGCTGCACGCTCATGCTGCTGGTGGCAACAACTCTACTGGCCTTTGCTAGTACCTTGGTGTGCTTCTGGTATGCAGAGACATTCATGGGTGCAGGCATATTCATGACAGTGCAGAATTTCACAAGGGATGCCCACGTCCTATCCATGTCATTGCAGTAGCCGGCTTTCTGTTCACATCCCAGCAGTGCCCAGTCTTCTTGGACATAGCCTCACGGCTTTCAGCCTCGCAGCTGTCACAGGCCAGCGATAGAGTTGAAGCCAATCCTTCACGACGTACTTCACATAGTGTAAGGGTGCCATGGCACGCTGAGCAACAGGCACTATCAGCAAGTAAATTTTGTAAACATTCTAAATAAATAATTCGGCTCCCGGCCGTCAGGTAATCATCACCGTCGCGCTCATCTCCAGAGCTGTCCTTGTCACTGTCACTAGATGTCTCACTCTCACCAGAATTAGACTGTTGGACTTCGGTATCATCCCTATCTTCTGACAACACAGAAGAGTCCTCTGCCACGACAATTTTCGTAATTTCACTCGACAATTAAATTATTTAGCACATTGATTTCCATGGAATTTGCGCTTCTTTGGACGACCAGGACGGCCTACGTATGCCTCTTGCCCATAGTGATCAAGGAAGGTTCCACAAAACAGATGAAAGCCAACAAAGCAGCTAAACTGATAAAGAGCTACAGTTTGGAGATTGGAGATTGCTGGTATAAAAATATTTACCAAAAATTTGAAGTACGACATGCGCGCTGTGTGTGGTGACATGCGCACTGGCACTGCTGATGCCGATGGTGATGTCAGCTCTGCGTGGGGCGCAGCAAGGTAAAACCAGGGAGATTTTCAGCCTTTCCGCGAAGTTTCATCGCTAAAATGCCAGCGAAATCAAAGTTACACGCAAAACATGTGTAATGTAAATTCTAATGCGTTAAAATTTGAATTTTTGAATTTACAATTACTATTTTTGACAATAGCGGCCTTTGAAAGTCCATATCTCAAAAACTACTGAAGCAATTCACTTCAAATTTTCGGGATGTGCGGTTGGGACCTACCCAGAGGGCCTGGAAGCGAAAATGGGGTCAAAATCCAAAATTCGATTTTTGACCCTCTGAAAGGTGCCCGAAAGGTGTAGCGCCACCTTAACTCGGTAGAGTTAGCACTTCGTTATATAATTATGGCTTTTACAGTAGTATTGACTTCGTACTTGGTCAGTATAGGAAATAAAAGACCTCGTAAAATACCTCGGCTTTTATTTCCTATTGACCTCGTACTCAGTCAATATTAGAATGATACATATTCATACCATTCATACTGTGGATCATTGACATTAATTAATTAATGCATTGTTCTGACACTTGACAGGCCAGAACCACAGATAAAGACCACTGGCACTATCTAAGCTAACACAAAAGTAACAGTCTGACTCAGTCTCCATGGTCTCTGAGTTACTCTGTTGCACTTGTGAGTTGTGTCTTGTGTCAGTTGTGAGGATGGGCCCTGTCTTGGGGTTTCTGCATCCGGTGCTTTCCCTGAAGAGATCTGCACATGTATGAATCTCCCCCTCTCACCTGGCCTGCACTGGGCCCATGGGCAGCTCAGAATCAGATCTACTGCAGTACGTGCTGCACGATCACGGCCGGCCCTCGAGCCTCGTCGTGTAGCAGGCATGTGCAGTGTAGCTTGTCAGCTGACCAGTCTGTTGTGTGGGGCTAGGGGTCAGCTGTTTTTCAGTCATTACAGACCATGCAGACAGTACAGTATTACCCATTCGATATGTTCACGGCGTTGTGTGGATGTCATGCATGCAGTCTACGTAGATCTACGTGCTGCGCGCGCTACTCATCGTCGCGTCTCAAAAGTAATGCCCAAGCATCGAACGCACCATTCTGCTGTCACATTATTTTCACAGAGACGACCGTTGACTGTACTGATGATCTACATACCGCCATTTCGTTGGGGACTTTCGCATCACGAGGTCGTGGCTAGGAAGACGCGGATACGTGGACAGTAACGTTACGACGTACGTGTTGGATCCATACCGTGGAAGACCCTACAAGAATTATTGGAGATTCAGATCGCCATAACAAGCAGGATCGGACCTGTCGTTGAATGACTCAGCCCGCTCTAAATAATCTCTGAGTCGGAAACTTACTTGACCGAAGGAGTTGTTTGCGCTGGCTTTCCGCAAACGTACTACATGTACAAGAAGAAGAGACGCTGGTTCAGGGTTTGGCACTGAACGGCTAGCTAACGTAGAAGTCCGTGCTCAACGTTCGTGCGACCAGCAGCACCTTACTGCTGCGGTACATTGCGGGCAGAGAGACCGAGACACCGTGTTCTTCTAACTTCTTGATGATGGCGTATGCTAGCATGGGTTCGAGATGCGACCCTAGACCCTACTAGACTGTAGTCGCTGACCGTTGAAACTTCTGTTGCGGAAACAAATCAACAGCACGCGGCCAGGCAGAGTCCGACTGCACCAGCAAGCTCGTCATCCTTACCCCCCTCAAAAGTTCTTTCTGATACAGCAACGTGCAAGCGAAGACAAGGAGCTATGCCTGGCGAATCTGTCGCTGACGAGCTGGCTGCGCGGTTGCGCCTGGCCTGCCTGCCCGACCAAACCGGTGGTGATTTCGACGGCGACGAGCTCTCGCTTTACGAAGCAACTCTGAAGCAAATCAGAGAGACTATTGCAGGAGTACTGAATGGTCGTCGACGAGTCCGAGCAGCGAGAGGCGGCGGTGGCGGTAGTAGTACGGACATGTTCCCACAGCAACTTCTCCTGGACTGCATTGTACAGTCATTGCAGAGGATAGATGACTCCGGGGCAGACAGAGCAAAGCAGCTGAGAACGGCCTTCGGCTGGCTATGGAAACTGGCCAAGAATCTTCTTGTGGATCCAGGACGCAACGAAACGAAAAAAATTCTGGTAGGTAGTAGTCTACTTCTAACTGTCCCTTCCCCCCCCCCCCCCCCCCCCCCCTCTCTCTCTCTCTCTCTCTCTCTCTCTCTCTCGCCTCTTGAAACATATGCTAGGCAATAAGTTCTTCGATGGTGACAACCAGAAAGGATTTATGCCTGCAAAGGCTGGGTGCTTAGAGCATACATCACTTTGTTATGAGGCGATGCGTGATGCAAAGACGGCAAAACGCCAAATTTGCATTGCGTGGATAGATTTGAAGAATGCATTTGGTTCAGTGCGCCACAATCTGATAGAGTATGCTCTAACCCACTACAGCCTTTGCAATTCAGGAAATTAATTTTTTCCTACTACGACAGTCTTTGCGCTTTCGTCGTACAACCACACACTCCCACCTTTAATTACAACATTGGTGTTTTCCAGGGGTGCCCCTTGTCCCCGGTCCTTTTCAATATCTGTTTCCAGCTTCTACTGTACTCACTTGCAGCCCCTGAATTAAGTTGCCTCTCCTATGATTTTAAATCTGCCCCTTTGCAAGTGTCCCAAACAGCTTTTGCTGATGACTTAGGCCTCTATAGCAAATCTAGTGCAGGTTGTCAAAAACTCATTGCGGTCACGGAGGACTTTCTCTCGTGGACCCAATGTATGCAGGCGCCGCCGCACAAATGCAAAAGCAGTGCAGCAAAGCTTGTAGATGGCCGGTGCAAACCTTACGATCCCTGCCTGACGATGTCAGGGAGGATCGCTTTCATTGACACTGCAGAGTTCAAGTTCCTGGGGCGAAGGCTGCATGCTGATTGCTCTGAGCAGACCCAGCGGGAAGACATCCGTCAACTCACTGTATCTCTCATGCAAAAAGTAGATGGCTCTTGGCTTCAAGACCACCACAAGCTATGGCTTTACCACCATCTTGTAGTGCCCAAGCTTTCTTGGTCTTTCCAGGTTCTTGAACTCACACAAGGTTTTGTACGTGAACTGCACTTTATGTGTTTACCATTTCTGAAGAAATAGTCAGGTCTACCTCTATGCGCAAACTCTGCCATTCTTTTTATTGGCAGTCGCAAACGCTTTGGCTTACGCCTCCATTACCTTCCTACGGTGTGGAAAAAGTGCCAGTCCATCAAATGGCACATTCTTCGATCGAGTGGGGACGCGCGCATGAGGGCGCTGTACACTCTGCGTCGGAGTAAGGATGCGAAGCTGACAAAGCGATATGCGGCGACAAAAGAGCTGGAGTGTGCAGAGGCATCAGTAGGTTCAGGGACTCTCCGTCCACCGTCATCTTCAAGTCATCGTGCAGGGTTGGGTGCTCGTGCTCCGAAGCAGCATTTTAAACCCCCGAGGAAGGATCTCCTTCAAACATTTGAGGAGATCAACGCGCAGGAGCAGATTTTGAGGCTGGAGACTCTTCAGGTGCAAGGCAAGTGGTTGGAGTGGACATCGGTGATGTGGCAGGACCTCTCGTGGAAATCCCTTTTGTACGGTGGTACTGGTAAGGATTTGAAATTTCTTCTCGCATCAACCCTCAACGTGCTACCTTCTCCGACGAACCTACGCCGTTGGGATAACACCGTAGTGGATCCGTACTGTAGTTTGTGCCGTGCCTGGGCCTGTACTACGCGCCACGTGCTTGGCGCTTGGCGCGTAGCGCTGGACCAGGGACGTTACACCTGGAGGCACGACAACGTACTCGGGGTCATCGTCAGGAACATGCGTGAGGAGATTCGAATCCGCACTGCTGCAAACACCGTACAAACCGAAAATTCAAATGAGCTTGACTTCATCTCGTTTTGCAAGGCGGGAGAGAAGCCAGTTCGCGTTCAGCCCAGACGGAAGTTGGTTACGACTGATCTCCTGTCAGCGGCCTCAGACTGGAAACTTCTTGTCGACTCAGTTAGTGCAAAGATTTCTTTCCCTAGCTGTGTTGCCCTTACCACCCTAAGACCAGATATAGTTCTGTACTCTACGAGTCGTAGGATTGTATTCTGGATGGAGTTGACAGTTTGTGCTGAGGACAGATTCAGTGTCAGTAACTCGCGGAAGGACAGGCGGTATGCGGATCTGGCCGATCAATGCCGAGCAAACGGGTGGCAGGTCGTTTCTTTTTCGGTTGAGGTAGGTGTGCGTGGTGTCATCCCGGACTCTCTTCGGAGGGCTCTGAAAGCGCTTGGGTTTTCTAATCGAAAAATAAAATTTATTTGTAATTTGTGCAGTAAGACGTCTCTGCGAAGCAGCTACATCATCTGGTTGCGACGTCAACAAAAACACTGGTCGGAAGATCCACTTTTCTGAGGTACTATATGTGGGGCTCCGTTTATTGAGGTGCGTTGAAATTTATTCTCTTTATCTTATTATTTTTTTCTATAATTTCCCCATATGAGTTCCTATCAGTTGCTGTGAACACCTTGAGTGGAGAGCGCTTGCTCGAGCGTTGAACCGGGTTCTTAATCCACCGTACCCAGTTCGCAAGGCTGGGCGGGGTTGTGAGCAGGCTTTTATTTCATCTTTTCTTATTATTTCTGCTTTTCATCTCATTACAAAAAATCTGCGCTTTTTCTCCATCTGCGCATAAAATCTAGACTGACAACCTGCTTGTTAAATCATGCACTTGCTTTCAGGCGTAAAAACCCTGTTGTAGAGGTCTCAGTCCTCATTTGTCAGACTTACCTGTCTTTATAAATGTAACTTTCTCTCTCTCTCTCTCTCTCTCTCTCTCTCTCTCTCTCTCTCTCTCTCTCTCTCTCTCTCTCTCTCTCTCTCTCTCTCTCTCTCTCTCTCTCTCTCTCTTCTCTACACCCATACCATGTACCATGTATACGCCCGTCGCAAGAGAAGCACGCAAATCTGCAAATGCACTGGATGTGCACCCACAGATTTTCTCTTAGAGCAACGATAGTGGCCGAGATCTGAGTGAGACAGATCAAGAGTAGCACCAGATAACTGTCCAATCCACACAACCTGCGAAGCCATGTGCTACACCCATTCCCTTCTCTTCACCCCTCCCTTCCCTTCACCCCCCCCCCCCCTCCCTGCTCTTCACCCCTCTGTGCCTTCTCTTCACCCCCCCCCCCCTCCCTGCTCTTCACCCATTCCCTGCTCTTCACCCATTCCCGTCTCTTCACCCACCCTCCCTTCTCTTCACCCCCCCCCCCCCCACCTCCCTGCTCTTCACCCCTCCGTCCCTTCTCTTCACCCCACCCCCTCCCTGCGCTTGACCCATTCCCGTCTCTTCACCCCCCCCCCCTTGCTCTTCACTCATTCCCGTCTCTTCACCCCCCCTCCCTTCTCTTCACCCCCCCTCCCTTCTCTTCACCCCCCCCTCCCTTCTCTTCGCCATCTCTCACTCCCTCCTCATCGCCCCTCCCTTCTCTTCAACCTCCATTTTCATTGCCCTCCTCCCTTCTCCTCACCCCCTCCTTTCCCTCCCCTCCCTTCTATTCACCATCTCTTCTTCCCCACACCTTTCTCTTCACCCCCTCCCCTTCCTTCTCTATACCACCCCTCCCTTCTCTTTGCCAGACATTCTCTTCACCCCTCCCTCCCTTCTCATCACCCCTCCCTTCTCATCAACTCTTCCTTCTCTCCACCCACCCTCCCTTCTCTTCATCCCTCCCTCCCTTCTCTTCGCCATCTCTCATTCCCTTCTCATCGCCCCTCCCTTCTCTTCAACCTTAATTTTCATTGCCCTCCTCCCTTCTCCTCACCCATACCTGCCAAGTACTGAGAGTGTTTTTTTCTGGATCGCCATGGCAAAATCCCGGGATTTGCCTTGGTTTTACGGGATGTCATATTTTTACCAAAAAAACCCTTTTTTAACTTTTGATGGCACCAACATTTCGATAATAGATGGTTGATGGTGATCATTGGATCACACTTACACATGTTCAAGACTCAAAAACGGAGGTTTTTCAGAGACTGCTCATGGAAGGAGCACTGGGTGATCCACTGGTACTGCAGGCTATGGCGGTCCGGAATCAATAAGGACAATTACTGGCCTGTGACAAGTCATTTGAAGTGTTCCAAGTACAATATCAAGCTTGTTTCTTGTACAGTGAATTTCGGGATAATCGACAGGAATTTCGGGATCGCGGGAGTTCATCCAATACTGCGGGATAATCCCGAAAAAATCTGGATACTTGGCAGGTATGCTCACCCCCTCCTTTCCCTCCCCTCCCTTCTATTAGCGATGTCAGGGTAAATTTTTGTTTTGAGAATCGGGCAAATATTGTAATACCATCCGATTCCTGAAGACAAGTAGAGTATACTGGCAAAGTTTGAAGCAAATCGGAGCAAATATAGTGGACTTATTCCAGTTTAGAGTGCGCGGGGTAAGCGCCGCCATTGTCGAAAAGCACCCTGCATCACTGTACACAAACCAGAACCACACCACACAAAATCGCGGCACAAAATTGGTCTTGACAACAGGGATCGCTGGATCGCGGGTCATGAATAATCTTGCGCACTGTACAAAATGTACATACCGTAGCTGTACTCTTTTCTTTTTTTTTTGTTGCTGCAAACTGTTGGAGAAATTCAAGAAGACTGTTGAAGAGTAGCCGAAGTATGAGTTGTGATTTGGCCATTCTGCGAGACAAGAAGAGTTCGACAAGTAGATTATGATCCTGGTGGTGGTCCGCTTTGAACTTCATCAGTTCTAACACCAATGCATTTGAAACATTTCCGATTCTGCTAGGCAGGGGCTTATCCTGCAATAGCTGCTCCTCCTTGAGTCCAAGACTCGACAAAATATCTTCACCGCCGGTCCCCTTGCTGGACGAAGCGCTCATGATGGCGTTGTGTCCAGCAACGGAGTACCTGTGGCGAAAAATACTGAAAGTCTGGTGCGCAGCGTGATACGCCGGTGAAACTTGGCAGCAAACTAAATTGGACAACGGGGAACACGATGGAACTAAAATCAAACGCGTATCAGGCTGCGCAAGAGGTGAAAACGGCAACTGAACATACGCGAACTTGTCGGCAGTAGTACTCCGAGTTCATTGGGCGCGGCGCGCTCGCACAAACGCGAATACGAAAGTTCATCTTCTATTCTCGTGGCATGACAAATGTCCCTTCTATTCGCCATCTCTCCTTTCAACGAAATCCGATCGAATGAATCAAGCACGCGCCCGGCGCTGTGCAGCCTGTCGTCCTGCAAACACTGGTGTGTTCACTGGTGAAGGGCACAGGCTTGATTTGCACGATCAGATTTCACTGAGCAGCTCTGTAGTCACTACTGGTACTAGTGCAAAATCAAAGTTCGAACCTGGCTTCAGCCACCACCGCTGATTATGATACTCATCCATCGCGGAATCGTAGCCATTGAACGTGAGCGGTCTCCGAAGCTGGCAGTGATCGTCACGCTAAATAATTTTAGCACACTCACCGGTTGCCAAAGAGAAGTAGTCACAGAAACCAGATGACTGCTTAAACCAACGTTGGACGTGTGTTACCCGTTATAGGCTCACGGTGCATCCATTCAGGGTTCTTGATGTCACATAAGTTACTGGCAGGGGCGTCGGAAGGAGGTAGAAAGTGGTATGGCTCGACAGTCAGAGGGGGTCCGGGGAAACTTCCTCCGGGAATTTTTTTCTAAAAACACTCAAAATACCCCTCTCAGAGGGTACATGGTAGTAGATGTACGAGTCATGACGCATACATGCCATGCAGTTCCGTAATCGACAGTCTAGTCACGCGTTACACGGTGCAGTGACCTGACTGGTGCACCGGTGACGGATCGCGGCTCACGATCACGCCTGGTCATGTACAAACTCGATACCCCCATTTTTTTACACCGGATTTGGACGTTCCGCGTGGACCACATGGAGCCAAAAGTGGTACGGCTCGTACCGCTTCCTACGCCCTTGACTGGTATGATGTGATGGGGATGCATGACTGGATAGAGCTGGACAATGCCAGGACGAGTTGATTCTAACATTTCATTCACCTTTTCAGGCTTTTCTGCCCCCCCCCCCCTCATACCCTTGTGCCCAGGCACCAACTAACACATGTACGCGATCGTCCATGCAAACATGCACGTACACACATACGTGTGTGCATGTGTGTGCTAACTGTGTGTGTGTGTGTGCATGCGCGCTAAATCTGTGCGTGTGTGTATGTGTATGTGTGTGTGTATGTTTCCAGCTCTACCAAGGTGTGTATGTGCTCTACATCAGCAAGGTGCACGGCAACCTAGCGCTGCTGGAGCGCATTGGCTACAGGAAGAAGCACGAGGCAGACGCGACTGCGCAGGTGCTGATTCGGCATGGCGATGTAGACTGCGTTGCAGTATCTGTCATGGCTATCAACTTCCTTGCTGCAGCACGGCTCATCAAGCTCCTTGAAGAAGCGTGCAGTATGGCTGGAAGAGGGTTCTCATTACAGGAAGCCCTGCAGACCTGGACTAAGTCGCAAGACGGGCCCATCAGTTCCGATCAAGTGGGACAGCTGATGAGACAGGAGCGGGACTGGAGAGAGGCGGAAGAACGGCGCAAGCGAGAAGAGGAGCTCCGTCGTCAACAGGAAGCCGAACGCGAGAAACGGAGACTGGAGGAGGAGAGAAGGCGACGCGAGGAACGCATTCGCAGAGAGGCAGAGGAGAAACGTAAGCAAGAGGAAGCTCGGCGAGAAGAGGAAAGACTGAAACAAGAACTCGAGGAGAAATTAAAACGAGAAGAGAACGAGCGGAGAAGAAGACAAGAGGAGGAAGAGCTTGCCGAGCGTAAACATCAGGAGGAGATTAAGAAGAGAAAGGCTGAGGCCGAAGCTCACGAAGCTGAAATTCAGGCAAAGTACCGAGAACAGATGCGGCTGGCAGAACAGCAGCAGCGTGACGCTGATGATGCACAGAGAATCCACACGCAGAGAAGCGAAGAACTGCGGAGAGCCTATGACAATCCAGTATCACACGATGATCATTATAGCAGTGCTCAGCTAGATCCAACATCATCCGCCTCCGGTTTGAACCAGGCATCACCTCAGAATCAGCATCAACAACAACAAAATCGACAACAACCACAGCAGCCCATGGGCCATCTGCCTGTCGACACCCCACAGTTTGTAAAGAAAACGGCTCGTTACAATGTCCAGTCAACACCTAATACTGATGTTAGTCAGTTGCCTGTGCGTTACCCGCCAGGCCATGTCTCTAATAATGCGCAGAACGTGGGCAGCTCTAACATGGACGTAGCACATCAGCATGTGCAGGCAAGCAGTCGCCTGCCAGGACCCAGCGATTCTGCGCAGCCACCTCTGCGAGTTGGCTCTGTGGGTGACAATACACGCTCGGTAATGGACGATCTGTATGGTGGTGACGGTGCTGATGTCGCTAACGATGTGCACGCGCCGGAGACCCGTCAACAGCAGCCACCTAAGGCCAATGCTGCTGCGATGAACAGGTCCTTCATTAAGCCTCGCGTCTGCAGTGCACCTGTCAACAGCGTGGGTGTGGACGGAAACAACAGCGGCAGAGTCGCAGACGTGCACACTGCACCCCACCAAGGACCCGACGCGGCGTTTGTAAGCAGAGGCGGCGAACACTGGAGCGGGGAGCACGCAGGGCATGGCGTTGGCACCGGCAGTGAGCATCGCATCGTCCAGCCAAGAGAACTACCAGCATCACAGGGGTCATCCGCGTACCAGTCTGAGCAGCAGTACATGCGCTCACATCAGCACAACGAACGTGCTCATGGCCAGCGATCCAATCAACCCGTGCCTACCCCACGCGCCCAACAACCTAATCCATCTGTAGTAGCAGATGTCGCAGCAGTTGCTAAAGGCCACGGACAAGCAGCTCAGTTACAAAATCTACCAGTCTCCCATCCTAACGGTGTACCCTATGAAAACAGCCGCACTCAGCGATTCAGTGATACCCCAGCCAGTCATCAAGTTGATAACAGAAAACCGACTGGAGTCTTTGTGTCAAGCAACATTGCCACTGGGGCTGCTACTGGTGCTGGTCCTGGCATCAGTGCTGTTGATATGGGTAGTGCAGGTCCTGGTGTTGAGACTGCCAGTGCTGCAGGTAGGACTAGCGAGGTCGCTGCGGCCGATGGCGCGGGTACTGGCGCTAATACTAATGTTGCTGCGCCCGGTGCTGGAGCTAGTGATGTGACCGGGGCCCGGCCTGTAGCTGGAGCACCTGCAGTGGAGCAGACTGAACAGCGTGGTGATGATGAGGAGGGGCGCCGACGTCGTCTCGAAGCACAGAAACTCGTGAATGCCACTGCCGAGCGTATTGCCGATGACGCAAAGAGGCTGATGGAGAACAGCGACAGCGAAGACGAGTTGGAACTGCCTTCAGCATCCGCTGCACCTAGCGCAGCCCGGTCCTGTCTCAGGGCCGAGCAAAAGCACTCCGGTCGAGTGACTCTGACCACTGAGGATGATCACGATCGACCGCACAGTGTGTCACATGCCCCGGGCAACATACACGATAATGCCAGTCACATCAGCGAGCAGGCCAGGAGACTGATTGAGGATTCGGACAGCTGCGATCCACTGGCCACCCTGACGGCTACAGTAACACACAGTGGCCAGAATGCGCCAGGCCGTGTTTCTCAACCTGACCAGACTTCATCTGGATCTGTTTATACAGCAACGCATACAATGCCTGGTCCTGGACAACAAGGTACACCCATATACAAACCACAGCCAACAAGAGAGGCTGGCCCGAATGTAGACACTTTATCCCGGCATCAAGGCAGTAAGGAGGCGCAGAGCGAAGGTCTCAGTCTCGATCAGGCCACTGCTGCCAGCACAGCCCCTGGCTTAGGCAAGACATACTCTGGCTCGGGCAACACACACCCTGGCTCGGGCAAGGCTTTGCTGGCGGCATCGCTGAGCAATTTGGACGGGTCACGCCAGCAAAGAGGAGAGACTTCATCGTCTGACTTGACCAGATCAGCAATATTTACAGCAGACAGGGCAGCAGGAACGCAGCGGGAGTCAGCGACAGGTGGCTTGTCGTCGAGTAGTTCCCGGTCTTCCCCCGCATCATCAATTGCCTCGTTCTTTGTCACTTCGAAATTGGAGCCGGCTGGCTCGACTGGCAGAGAGCAAATTCCCCCGGAGCGCGATGCATCAGCGTTGGCAGGCTTCATTTCAGGTGTTGTAAGTTCGACTGGTGGTGACCGGCAAGGGCACTCTAAGCCTACTCTTAACTCTGAAGTAAGACCCGAATTATCAGCCGGTCTGGACAGCCATGTAAGTGGTTTGGATAAATCCACGCCAGTGGCCAAAGAGCGTAGCGTTCTGAAGAGCCGCGATGTGGACTCGAGCATGCGGTATTCACCGAATGCACGCAAGCGGGAGCACCAAGCCAGTTCGACCGCACCGGCGCATGCTATCGCGGGGAAAGCTAGCGGAGGAGACGACGAAGACGGCGTCAGTGATGAAGTCAAGTATCAGGCGCCTGCAAACTTGACGAATGCAGTAAGAACTACAGCTCCGGATTTTAAGAAGGCTGCTGTAACATCTTCAAGTGGTTATCAGCTGGAGTTACAAGAGTCGGGAGTGAAATGCCCCAGTCGGAAGTGCGGCTATGAACTATCTAGGCATGAGATCAGTAAAGGCTGTAGAGCATGCCCTATGTGCCACCTGGATTTGGGAATGTGAAGCGGAGGAAAACGAACCACACGCCTAGTTACAGTTTGGTCTACATATTACACATCGTGTTCAAGTGTTGAACGACGAACTGAGGGGAAATGAGCTTAAGGTTATGGCCGATCCGAGATGCGGTCATGGTCACCATATTCCATTCTTTCATCATGGTTCAAGTCTGCAATGCAGGCACCATGTTCAATCCTTTTGGTAGTCTTATCAGTATTCCCCAATGTCCACTGCCAGGAGTTCTGAATCTCTCTCTCTCCTCTCTCTCTCTTTCTCTCTTCTCTCTCTTTCTCTCTCTCTCTCTCTCTCTCTCTCTCCTCTCCTCTCTCTCTCTCTCTCTCTCTCTCTCTCTCTCTCTCTCTCTCTCTCTCTCTCTCTCTCTCTCTCTCTCTCTCTCTCTCTCTCTCTCTCTCTCTCTCTCTCTCTCTCTCTCTCTCTCTCTCTCTCTCTCTCTCTCTCTCTCTCTCTCTCTCTCTCTCTCTCTCTCTCTCTCTCTCTCTCTCTCTCTCTCTCTCCCACTCCTGTCCATCTATTTCATCATTCTATGTAGGACCGAATTGCTAAGCTACAGAGCGAAAACATTGCAGCAAGATGCTCTGAGGGAAGACACTTGAACCAAGCCTGATTCTTTGCTGCACACAGCAATCCCTGCATCCCCAGTGCATCTATATCTACCAACATGAAAAACTATGCCACGAAATGCTTCCTACTTCTTGCATACATTTATCCAGTTCCAGATTTCTTTTGCCGATAAAGGTGTTTCTTTGCAATGCAGGTACATATACATGTACATGTAGCTTGGTCCACGCAGATGTATTTTGTAGACAATGATACTGTTAATTACCATGGAGGACTAGTATTGCATACCAGGTATAACGTTAGAATAATCGTAAAAGTAAACAATGTGAATGCAGTGGCATCGTTGATGATGTTTTTCCATCGACTCTCAGGCACACCCTGCTGCAGGCTTGCCGGTGTGCTTATAAGGTATTTACTTAACGTGACCAGGTAAGTGTTACATACCGTGACTTGCCTACTACGCGTATACGTCGGAAGTAGGCTTCCGTGTAACGTTTTAAAATGTACTTTTGTTTTGTAACTATAAAATAAAACTAAGACTTTTAGTGTCGGTTCTTGAGAGAGATTGATGATGGAGAGATGCGAGATGGAGACAGTGGCTGCTGTAAAGAAGTGCAGGTAGCGGGTTATTCAATCGTGTAGGTATGCGGCCTCTGAACCGTCAGGGTCGGAGTTGTATAAACACGGTCTACATGACAGCGAATGCATACCAGGGAGAAGTAGAATACCACTCCATACTCCATGGTCTATACTATAGTCTAGAGGTTATACTTATACAGTCAGATCTTGCTTTACCACACACATGATCCGTTTTCCACAAAAAAATATCAGGATAGACGAGGGGACCGGATAATCGAACACACACACTGCACTGAAGTCTGTATGTATGCATAGCATGTGTTGTAAATCGGTACTAGTAAGTAGTAACACATGCCCACAAGCGGTTCCGCGGTATACTCAGTACCCATAAGCGGTCAGTCCGGAATACCACTGACATGACTCATGACTTGTGAGTCTTTATGATCAAGAGTCGACTAGTATAGTCGGTCCTTAACCCTGGCCTGGGGTAAATCATGGTTTATGGACTGTTGTTTTGTCTTCTTTTGCTCTGAAATAACACTTGCCCCCATACCATAAGCCATAACCAGGGGGTCGGATTTCAGTTGCCAGCACTGTACAACAGATCAGTACTACAGTTTATCACTCCCTTGTATTGACTCACATAGATTTTTGCCATACCTAAGTAGTCAAATATTCCTGCATATTTCACTCCTTAGGGCTATATTGACCGCTTATATTTGACTCCTTTTTAGCGATTGAACACATGCTTTGGTCAGTCGTGATAAATGTAATACCTATTGACTTCGTACTTGTACTTGGTCAGTATAGGAAATAAAAGACCTCGTAAAAGACCTCGGCTTCGCCTCGGTCTTTTACTCGGCTTTTATTTCCTGTATTGACCTCGTACTCAGTCATATTAGATACTTATCACTCTTCTATATCGACCTCCACTAATTCTCGTGATCCTTGACTGGTCCTATATTACCCATATCGCCGCAATATCGACCGCTTGTATCGACCACTTACAGGCATTGTAAACTTTCGACTTTGGAGGGACTTAGAAATTTCTCTCCACTTCAAAAAGAAGTCTATAGTACAAATGCTATACTAAAAGGTTAAAATACATGTACACATGTAGCTCCTAAAGGTTCAAATTTTGGGGTTATGGCAAAGGAATCGTGATAAATAGGATATTGACCTCGACTTTGGTCTACATGTATATGGGAAATATAGGCCTCGTAAAAGACCTCGGCGGACCTCGGTCTTTTACTCGCGCTCAGCCTATATTTCCCATATACAATGTAGACCTCGCCTTGGTCAATATCCTATACATAGTAGGGCATAGTGACATACAATGATACAGTACTCAGTAGGGAGTTGCTACAACAGGAAGAAGGCTCTGCCTCTTCCGCCGGATCTTACCATTGCATGCGGTGGTGTCGATATTCGACCTTCTGCCACAGCGCGTTATCTTGGCCTCATTATTGACCAACACCTCACCTTTGAGGATCAAGTCAACCATGTATGTACATCTGTTTATAAGAAGATAGGAGCATTCCGCCGCTGCCGCCGTACAGTAGACCACACAACTAAGCGAATATTCTATTTATCCCTCATCCAATCCACTATTGAATACGCCAGCAACTCGTATGCTCACTGTCTTACACCATCTTTATACTCTCGCCTTGTTACTTTAAGTCATATCAGCATGAAAAAGGTTTTTGGTCTCCCTCGCCGTACCCCGACTGTCTTTGTTTTGCGGCACGCTAAGTTATACTCCCTCGAATCTCGTCTCAACTTGAGGCTTTTTATTTTTGTTTTCCGCTGTATTCATCAGCTTACAAGTCCTCTTCTTTCCTCAATGTTCACCCTCCAGTCGGCTGCTACTTGCACCGAGAGGCGCACTAGAGGGCAATCATTCTCTTCACTTTCTTTGCCCGCTGCTACCACTAGATATGGCATGTTCTCTATTTCTTTCCTTGGCGCTGATAGGTGGAATTCTCTGCCTGTCTCGTGTCGTCAGGTTGAGCATCTATCCGTTTTTGTTTCGCTCTGTAAAGAGCACTTAGGGTTCCCTGTAACAAGACGGCAACGTCTGTAGGGCCTTCCCTATCAAAATAATAAATTCTACTACTACTACTACTACTACTACTACTACTACTACTACTACTACTACTACTACTACTACTACTACTACTACTACTACTACTACTACTACTACTACTACTACAACCAAGAGTCCATATTATTATTAACCCCCCCCCCCCCCCCCCCCCGGGGGTTATGGACTCTTGCCACAACCCGGATATGAGCGGGGGATTGAGCGCACATGCCAGTGATGCCACGTCCACACAGTCCGTGCGCCAAATTCAAAAAAGTCGTCTAGAAGTTGCACTTTTATTTGCAACCACGGGAAATTTGAGAGGTCTGGAGAAGAAAATTCTCAATGGGACTCAAAATTGACAAACAAGACGACGACCAGCGCTCGAGCATAGTACCTTTTCGCCATTCCTTCGTGCATGATACCCATTCTAATTGATAAACACTACCCTCATGTTTCGTTTCATGCGCAACGGACGAAGCGAATTGTCTTTTTTCGTCCACGAAAGAAAGTTAAGGAAATTGTCATCTTCGCGACACCCTTCGGATTATTTAGTGGGGCATTGTGGGCCAAGGGTATTTTTTCTTTTTCTTTACAACTGTCCCCAGGTACTGAGACGGCGCTGATATCCTAGAAGTTCTGTTGGTGCAAAATGCCAGGTTACTGACTTATGGCGAGGTTTGTCCACCCAAAAATATGGGAGATTTCTTCGATAACATACACACATAATACAGTGAATGGTATTGCAGTCACTGAGTGGGCATCCAAAACGGTTGAACCAAACAAATATGGTATGGTACCTAGAGGCTAGGCACACAAAAATCACTCAGGAATTGGACGCAAGTCCCGGGGCCTTGGTGCGTCATTACACCCGGACATAAAAATGTTTGCCGGCGCACGGCTTTTGCTTCGCCACTTCATACAAGTTTACGCACTCACTCAATTCGAAAGACTGGAACGAGACCAAACCGAATGTGACAACTAAGAGCGAGTTGTGCATTCGTTGGAACAACGTTCGGGCATTGCGAGAAGGATATCAGCAGGGTCCAACAATGGCAGCAACAGCACCAGGTGATGATGGAGTACCAAGGAGCTTGTATCATGCACATTACAGTGAGCAACAAGAGAAACCGTACTGTGGTACGTGAGATCAGAGCCTGGGCAGGATGATCGACACTGTACACTGTGCTACAGCGCCTCAATTGTGCGAGAGAAAACAAACAGACCAGCAAGCACAGATCATGAACTGGTACACAACATTGACAAAGCACAAACCGCACAGCAAAGTTACACGGCATAGCCGAGCGTTTTGTTGCCAATGAATTGTTTGAGAAGGAAGCAGTATTCCTTGTAACATTGCATGGAGTATACGAGAATGCAGAGTCAGAACCAGGCGTAACAAGGCAAGACGGCTACTGTACAGGGGACAGGCTTGACGATCACTTGCATACTCGCAATTTTGGTACCAGGGAATTAGGCATCACGTCATACCGAAGTGACTTCGACACGCTACATTGCATTTATAGCTGTACGGTGAACCTGTTACACGAGCTTCTGTGGAACAGACAGCATGCCAATGACCTGCAAGCACCAACAAACGCAGCCGGTAAAACAAACGCTACATAACTGCCCAACATAAACTTGTACATGCTGATAAGAAGCAAGAATGTGCTTGATGTTGGAAGTTATGCTCGCATATTCAAAAACATGCATGGAAAAACATCAATGACATTGTTCACGAATACAACAGATACATCATACAGGGAGAGTAAGTAATCCTTCCTCCGTTTTGTATACGCGCGCGCGCGTGGTAGATAAATCCGTTCGGCATGACTTTCGATCGAGGTTGCGTTCACCGTAGGGATAGGTGAACTCGAAGCCAACACCTCTCGCTTTCGCTCTACTGCCCCTTTGGGGCCGATGCGATCCTTGTGCCAAGTTGTGGTAGTGGCTCAACAGAACAAGACAGGTGTGTGTGTGTGTGTGTGTGCGCGCATGTGTGTGTGTGTGTGTGTGTGTGTGCGTGTGTGTGTGTGCTCGCGCGCGTGTGTGCGTGTGTGTATGTGTAAGTGTGGTTTCTGAACTTTTCTCACAATCGTATAAGTTTCATTTTTTCGTGAAAACCCAGCTACACTGTGACCGGTACAATCGCATGTCGTTTATCTGGCGGTCAGTCACATGGCATGTCGGGTATCCAACAGCATCGCACTGACAGCTTATAGACCTTATATTTAGTATTAATTTTATAGTCCTACTTCAAGTAAATGTAGACAGTCAGCATCATGAAAGTTGCCATTACGTAGAGTTAAATACAAGCCAGTCTCTAGAGATGAGTACGACTGTCTCAGGGTAATACTAGTGATAAATACAGGTACTTCGAAGTACTGTCTTTTTGATCTGTTAACACAAGATGGCTTTGTAGCTTCAGTCGTCCAGAATATTCATTTTATTCCGCGGGTGCCGCATAATTGACACGCAACTGTACTTGTGCAAGTCTCCAAACGCTACGTAATTGGCCGACATTTACTTGTCCACGGTGATGAGAAGCATGGCTCCTAATTTTTAAATCATGAAAGGATTACATGCGCAGGTACATCCACACAATGTGCACTATCCTGAAGTCGTGCGCAAATATTCAAAATCATTCACCGAACACGGAGAGGCGCACATACCGTAAAGTACCGCGAGAGCGCCCCACCTTGATTTTGCCGCGACAGATTTCACAGCCAGGGAAAGGAAAATCGTATGGCAGAGTGCAACGAAGTTCGTACGGTGTGAGCAACTTAGTGTACTAAGGTCACACTAAGCAGGTTTTTGTGTGGAGCTCGTGTCCGCTCGAAGGTACGGATTGTCTGCAGAACGTGCAATAATATGTGTACAAAGTTCGTGTCGTATAACCTACAGACAGGAGACCACCTCCACAATACAACCACGAAAGGACGAGATGGTGGGGCGCTCTGGCGGTACGTTACGGTACATGTAAATACGAAGGAACCACATGCGCAGCAAGGAGATAAGTCATTACTTTACTTATGAGTTGATGGATAGAAGTTTCCTTTCAGCTGACCATTACCACTCATGAAAGCAGTAGTGAGTGCTGTTGTTCTGATTCACAGGTATATATTCGGCCCTTAGCGCAATGTGTTTTCGAAGCTAGGCACACGATTTGCATGAGGAAATCATGCAAAGATGTGGCATAAGGCCCTACAAACATGACCTAGGTAAAGGGATGCCATTTTATGCATTTGCAGTACTTTGGCATGGGATAATTTGTGGATGATTGTGTTGATCAATTTCACATAATTTCACGACAGGTCATAGTTTATTTAGTGGGGTGTTGTGGGCCAAGGATCTACGACCATCTCTTTTGCATTTCGAACAAGTAGACACTTTCAACAATTCATACAGAAAATGCCTTCAGTGCAAAACATACCGTTCGGACACACCAGGCAGTCCTTTCCAGCCTTAATTTTCAAGTGCAGACGTATCCACGATGACCTTCGAGTGAACTGCGGCTTGGAACACTTTGAATACGAACCACACACTCAAACTAACTAGACCACCGCATAGCTAGTGTATTCACGGAGCCAAAGAAGTCTCCTTCTGCCCCCACAGGGTCTTGGTTAGTTCTCTAGAAGGGACGAGAGCCATACCTAAATTCAATAAATTCTCCAATTCCAAAAGCCTCAAATGAAGGCGTCTTGGTGACTTCGTTTCCCGCGGTTGCAAATAAAATCAGCCCTTGAATTAGGAGGTTCTGCTATACGTGAAACGTAGAGAAATCACGTAGAGAGCAGGTGTCTGGGTTAGAGTCTACGGCTTCGCGTGTTTTGGCTCCAGATTTCTACGCGGAGATGGGGTTCTCTACGTTGTGGCACACGCAGAGAAAATGCGTACGCATTTGCTGGGTATCGATCAACTGCATGCAGAAAACTGCCAAATATGGAAGGGGAATTCCCAGTACACATTCCACGTGACTTCTCTAGGTGAAACGTAGAGCAGAACAGGATTTCTTTACGTTACGGGAACGCGAAGAAAGTTCGCGTGATTCTTTGCGTCGCGTTCCCAAAACGTAGAGCAGAACCTCCCTAGTACCCCTACACGTACACGTAGACTACGTACCGGTAGTCCGGTACACGTACATGCGGCGAACCATGACATCATAGATACACTCGGTATATCTACAAACTGCAGGGCTAGTACTTGTACAGAAACACGTGGGCGCCATCTTGGTTCACGTGACATGTGTCACACCATGCTGTGTACAGGGAATCTTGCCGTACTTCGCGTCGACTCTGGCCTGTTCAAATCCACGCAAGTGAGCCACAGTTCTCTCTAGCAGGCTGAGATTTTGCAGGCACCGAGTTCAGATGTGGGCAAAGGGATTCACCGAAGGATTTTTTGATTTTCGCAATTTAGAATTCAAATAACACCCTCAAACTCGGTAAACGTGTCCCACCTCTAGGATCGTTTTGGCGAAATTCGCTTCGGTGAAAGTATGGAGCATCTTCTACTGAAAATTTTGAGCCATCGATTGTCAAAATCGGCTGATGTGGAGCTCACTTGTGTCGTTTTGAAGGACGCCGCGCCACGCGACTTGCGCTGGTTCTTTCACAAACGGAAGACACCAGTCAGAACTGCAAACTGTGACAGAGTCAGTGCAGTGCGCACGGCAAGGAAAAGAAGGAGACGTGCATTTTCCATTTGTTGCACTGTGTCCTTTGCTTTTATTGTTCACTGATACCATGTTCGCAAAATCTTGAGCTAGAGAGAAGACTGACTTACAATCTTATTCATCTAGGCTTCAGCGTGATGCACGTATTCCAGACCATAGGAAATATTGGGAAAGGAACCGGGAACCACGAGAATAATTTTTCTGGAGCGAATCCAATTATTACCATGGTTCCTTGTTCTTGAACACCGCGCTCCACCACATCGTCAAATGTTTCTGCGAGGTAAGGATTTCAGGACTACTGTCGGTTTGTTCGACCTCGGGGCGATCTGATCTACGTCCAGCTGGCCATGATACTGAGCCGAACTGGCCACTAGTTCGCTTCTTTCTCGACTCGGGATAATCAAGCCGGTCAGAGTGCGATTTCCTACCCTGGATGCGATCCATGGTGCGGACTGAAAATAACTACTGAACACCTCCTTGTACAAGCACTGACATACAAGACCGGTGGTGGATACAAACTGACCACAGGAAACCCTAACAGCACCCGCTCTGTCAAAGAAAGTCGAAGGGAAGCAGTTCGAACTAGTTCAAGCACCACCAAAAAATAAAAACTAGCACTTGCTCTTGCAGCTAGGTCAAAGATCTGTACTGGCAAGTACACTTTTGCGCAGTCGCGACCCCGCATCACGTGCGGGTATCTGATGACGTAGCGTGATTCAAGATGGCCTCTGACGTGTTCCCGTTTTGTGATCCCAAATACCAGCCCTGATTACTGATTTGTAGTGAAGATGACGACGTCGACAACCCATCACCAAAAAATACAAAAAAGTGAAAACCTCAGTTTGAAAGAACATGACTTGATACGATGGGCACGACGAATGTTGTGGATGGAGCAAATAATTTCATATTCAGCTCATAACTTTGCTCTGCATCCTTGCTACTTGCAGGCTCCGTGTAGCCTGGACAGTGGAAGAAGGATTCGAAGGCTGATAGAATGCTGGTATTGTTTTTAGTTGACGATGCAGCAGCAGCAGCAGCAGGAGAAGCAGATGCAACCGAAGACTAGGATATGGAAGGTTCGCATCAATGCACGAAAGTTTCCCAGTCTCGTTGTAGGCTGTTGGTGGAGTTGATTTCCTCAGTTCACTGATCCATGCCGTAGTGAACAAGGCGCTGTAGATAATAATAGAAAAATGCACCCCAGAAGTAGGTACTGCAATGCTCGACCTGAATTTACACAGCTAGCTAGCAAGCACGCTGGTTTCAACGCTGCGTCACACGGCGGAAAGAGGATCAACTTCAAGAGTGAGCAGTTCCAACGCGAGCTGACGCGTGCTCTTCTGGAAGTGGATTTCGGCCTGCAAGTTGAGCTACCGCATGACCGTCTGGTGCCTGCCGTGCCACAAAGACTAAACTATCTTCACTGGGTTGAGGATTTAGTGACTGGTGGTGATGATGCTGCTGGCCACATTCCTCGAGGTAGCACTGTACGAGGAGTTGACATAGGTGAGAAGAAGTGCTCCTTGAGCTTCGCCATGCTCCGGTTCTGTGAAAACTTACTTGTGTGTGTGTGTGTGTGTGTGTGTGTGTGTGTGTGTGTGTGTGTGTGTGTGTGTATATATATGTCCGTGTGTGCGTGCGCGCGCGCGTGTGTGTGTGTGTGTTTGCGGGTGAGTGAAAAAAAGGGAAAAAGAGAGGAGCCATAAGTAATAATAGAAAATAATAAGGACGGGTTACGAGTTACGATTAACTGTCCGTAAAAGTAACCAGATCATATACAGTCAAAGAGTGCAACAGCATGCCAGGGAGCACTGAGGCACTCAGTGGACAATCAAGTTGTTGGCAAATACACCATTCCGTTTGTACTTGTACGCGACTGGACGTGCATACCTGTTTTTTTTTTTGTGTTCGCTCACTATGTGCTTGCTCAAGGTACCGGTGCATCAGCAATTTTCTCTCTGCTTGCTTCTAAGCTGAATGGCTGGTCCATGGTGGCCACCGAGGTGGATAGCACCTCCATCGACTATGCGCTTGCCAATGTCAAGCGTAACGACATGGAGCAAAGTATAGATGGTAAGCTGGAGGCAGGCTGTGGCCTGCGGGAATTGTCGTAGAATTTCCGGGCAACCCATCCCTTCTCTGTATGGCTGATTGGCTGAAAGGTAGCGTGGCCTAAGCTTGATCAGGGGCTTTACCGGGGGGAGGGGGGGGGGGGGGTACCTTCAAATGAGCGTGTACTTGCTGCTGGTTGTATGCTTCCATTGTACTGTAATCACTTGTGAATCAGATCCACAATCCACCGTAAAATGTTCTTTTTTTAACCTTGCTCCTGAGATACATGTAGCGTGTTGGCTGTGAGCTGTAATGTGGTGTACTCTCACGTGTGTGTGTGTGTGTGCGCGCGCGCGTGTGTGTGTGTGTGTGTGTGTGTGTGTGTGTGCGTGCGTGCACATATATGTGTGTGTGTGTGTGTGTGTGTGTGTGTGTGTAGGTGCGTGCGTACAGTGTGTGTGTGTGTGTATGTGTATGTGTGTGTGTCCATGTGTGTGCACGCGTGCGTGTGTGTGTGTGTGTGTGTGTGTGCATGTGTATTTCATGGCATTCTGCTTGCTCCATCCCAGTTGTTCGCGTGTCACCCGATGAGTTCTTGTTGGCACCGCTCTCCCGCACATGTTTCCCTGGCGACGTCCAGTTCTTGTTCTGTATGTGCAATCCGCCATTCTTCAGCTCCGAAAAAGAAGCTAGTGGATGTAACAGCCGGCCAAACCGACCTCAGCCGTCAGCTACCTGCACTGGCGCAGGCACCGAGATGGTTGTGGACGGTGGTGAAGTGCATTTTGTCGGGCGAATCCTGCAAGACAGCCTCGTTCTCAAGGATCGGATAAGGTACGGTTTTCCGTGCAAGGAAGGGAGGTACCGTATAGTCGCGAATAGAAGCCCCGGGGCTCTATTTTTCCAGAAGACAGATTGGGGGGGGGGGGGGGGGCTATATTTGAGAGAGGGTTCTATTCGACAGGGGGCTTTATTTTTTAATAGAAACATCAATTGTTTCAACCTATTCCTGCTGATCAGTACATGCAATGACTGCATTCGATCATTGCACGGTAAGCACCCGTGACTGCAGTTTGTGTGCAATAAGTGCACCATGCTGTACGTGCATACTGTGCACGGTTCATGTACTCTCACTGCATTGTACAGACTTTGCGGGCTCGATTATAGCCCCGGGCCTTTATACGAGACAGGGCTTTATTGTTTCGATGCCGTCTGACAGACGGGCTCTATTTGAGTGGGGGCTTGTATTCGCGCGTGTATGGTATTATAGGTATACCTTGAGTTCCTCAACAACGGGATTGAAACTTTTTTTCAGTCTTTTCTCTATTATTAAAATAACTGTTATTCATATTTTTTCTTCAGACTTTTCCCGTTTGTCTCTTTCCCTCAAACTAGTGAAGTTATTCATATAGGAAATGTTTACAGTGCAATTAGTCGTCCTTGCAGCTAAAATATTACTGTATAACTGCTGTCTCCGAAACGCTTGTTTACTAGTAATAGTTCTTCATATAATAATTATCAAGTTGAAAATGACTTCAAGGCAGAATCTCTAGATTTCTGGCCGGAATTGATGTATTTGATGTACGGCCTCTTCACCCCACGCGCGTGTGTGCATGTGTGCATGTTTGTGTATGCAACTATTATTTGTCCAAAGAGTTGTATTCGCTATCTCTTGCCATGGCTTTCTCGAGTAGGTCGTGAGTAGAGTTCATGGCAAGTTCCAGGTGTTGGTTTACATGCCTGGAATCCGTTCATTCTGATCTTTTGAGAATATTCAAACATGGGTCCAGCGTGTGTAAGAGAACGTGCCCAACAACATCTGTTGAAAACCAGCCTCGTGATTATCCCCCTGTGTTCTGTAGATGGTATACAAGCATGCTTGGTAAGAAGTCGAGTGTGGCCGCGCTGAAACGAACTCTTACTGACTCTCAGGTACGTACAGACGCACACACACACACACACACGCACACACACACACTACTACTACTACTACTATAGCATGACTGCCCATTGGGCAATGTCACCCCCGGAGGGGGCCAGAGTTTGGAGTGCACCGTCATTGGCAGGACTTCTGGTGCCTCGTCAAATCTTGCTGTCGTCGGAAACGTTTCGGGCAATGCATGCAGATCAGCGGCAGTGATTCCCTATCGGCTGCAGCAAGACGTTTTCCACGGTTGCAGTTATGGCGGTTAAAACCAGCCCGGGACTTGAAGCAGCGATTGCAGCGTTGACAATGCTGGAAGCAGCAACTAGCGAGAGACGCCGTCAATGCCGTATCTGCATGTTCAGGGAGTGCAGGCTCACACACACACACACACACACACACACACACACACACACACACACACACACACACACACAGGCACGTATATACACACACACAAGTACATATAATTATTATGCTGAATTTACTCATTCTCTCCGTGTTTCTTAACATAATTATTGTAAGCCGGTGGTAACGCGGATGTGTGAACTTTACTACTTTTGAAGTAATCTTACTACTTTTGAAGTAATTTTACTACTTATTCTCTGTTTGCAGGTACCTTGTGTAGAAACGACAGAGTTTGTCCAGGGCAAGACACGCCGTTGGGGTATAGCCTGGTCATTCTGCAATGACATTGCTGCACATGCTGCTCCATGTCTGGCAAGCACTTCTTCCTCTGGACAGGTGAGACTGAGTGTTGTTCGCTGGACTTGCTACTGCATGTGAAATACTCCCTACCTGTACATGTACCTATAGACACAGGCCCCGCGGAACCGGTCCGGTTGGTCAGTTTATCACCGGACCAACTTTGTGGCCACCAACAAATGTTTCCTACCGTGGAGGACGTGTGTACCCGCCATATCACACACAAAGTATAAAAGGCTATGAAACTACCGGACCGACCAATCAAAAAACTGCTTCCGGCGGTACTGAGACAGGTTTGGTTGAAAGGTGTGTTTGTGTGAAATTTGAGTCTAGCCCCCCACCCCCTTGCTAGCCGCTCACGTCTTGTACTTTGGCTTGGGATGCCAACTTACTCATCTCTTTGTCTGCCACATACAGGCCACTGGCAAGAGCCGCAAGCGGAAGAGGCCGCTGCAGTGCGTAATACCCGCAGCAACAGCAGCAGCTTTGCCACAATGCAACCCAGTGGCAGTGGCAGGCGATGCGTTGGCTTGGGCCGAGTGCCGGGTTGAACAGGTGCTACGTGGTCTCGAGGTGAGTTGTGCGACCCATGGGGCAGATGAACACAGTGCTGTGCTGGACAGTTTAGGTATCTTATCGAGGAGTGTACATCTCACACTCGTGAATGCCTCAACAGTCCGATATTGCGTGTGGCAGATACATTGTGTACGCGCATTCCAGTGCTGTCTCTGTCAGGTAAGCGTTGGAGAAATCCCGTGTGCAGGCACTATAGGTTGAGGCGTGGACATGTTCCCCCAATGCCATGCATGCTATCAGCCAGAAGCTATGAGTCTAGCAATCAAACAGGAACATGGCGTAAAAAAAAGTCACGGTTCGCTTGAGGCTTTAGTTTGACTGGATTTTCAGCATCCGTAGCAATGCCACCACACTGCAAAGACCAAAGGCGCAGATGCAGCTCCTAAAGCGGTGGGAGGTGAGTACTAGTAGATCAGCCCACCAAAAAATGGTCAAAGACCGAAAATCCCATTCACTGCATCCATGGCATATAGACCTCAGATAAATGTTTGTCTATGTGTGCATCATCACACCTGGTGTCTGTTCTGCCCTGTGCATTAGATCGTATTTTCGTGCACGTCATCAGGAGGAACCCGGTGCTATGCGTGCTCCGCCGCGACTGTCACGTGGACACACGGACGGAGAAAACGGCGGGAGGCAGTGCTGCAGGCACAGCGGCAGCAGGAGGCAGCACATGAAGCGGCAGCCGCGGCTAGAGCTGCGTCGTCTGCTCAGGTTCGTAACGCGACGGACACCTCTAAGTCCACTCATAGTGATAGTGCTGACGCACTGCGATCGCACAGCCCTCCTGCAGCTGTCCATGGTGCCGGTACTAGCTCACCGTCAGACCACCTCAGCACACGCCCAGATACACAAGAGGAACCGCTGTCGCATTACCGAACGTTATCACAGCGTGATCATTCGGAAGACCCAACCGCAGCGCCATCGAAAGCAAGCACTAACCATGCTGACTGTAGAAGTGGCGCATCAGCGTTACCAGTCCTTGAGTTCTCCATTGTGTTGAGCCCAGCAGAAGAGGAGGACAAGGGCACCACCATGGAAGTAGACTGCGACGCAAACTACAACCGGGAGCTACTGCACCAGGTATTCCTGTACTTGAAGAACCAGCTACAGGTAGGTGAAAGACAGTGACTTCGCGGCGAAACAGTTGCAGCTGGCGGTGGTAATTGAACAAAACCCAATCTGTCCGCCAATGCCTCTATTTGTGTAGACTGCGATGACAATGTCTTGATCATTGGCAGGTGAAAAAGGCCGAGTCCTTGAGGCATGCATCTCCCGTGCAGATTGGCGTACATTGAGTCATTGACACAACCTCATTGAGATAATTCATCCAACGCTACAAATGGCCCTCTTGCCTTTGACTAAAGCTCAATAATTATAGTAGAGTTACTTGTATCAAGAAGTAAAGAGTGGACTCTCCACAACTTCAAGCTGAAAAATGGAAGGGGTGGACCCTCCACAACTAAGCTTAAAAATGAGAAGGGGTGGGGTGGCAGGTACTATGTATTCATAAAATAATGGTAGCAATAAATACATTCTCTGAGAATAGTCATCACAAATCCAAACATACACATACAGCACAGGCCAGCTGTGTAAAAAGAAGAGCTCCTAGCAACGAGACACACACACACACACACACATACTCGTGCACACACACACATACACACATTTTAAGTTCGTCTGTAGCGATAGCTCTGGCAGGCCGAGCCAGGCAGATCTGCTCCAACTGCCCGCTGTGTCCCGCCAGGCATCCTGAGTCCTGACATGGTGACGGCTAGAGGTAAACAATGCTGATCAGCTATGCTATCCAGCCCTATACCGCAATGGCATTCCACATCTCCTTGGCCAATGCTTGAGCCTCGGTATCGCCCGTGTAGTCCAGGAAATCGACCGTCCAGAACGCCACACCGTGCAGTTTCATGTCCTTGGCACGTCGGTACTTGATTTTCAGACTCTGCACGTCATCATACCACACCTAGAGCAAGGAGAAGCAACACAGGTTGAAGACACCAGCAGGACAACAGGCTGGTGAGTGGTGGCAATGCTGCCATTGGGATTAAACTCTGCCCAGTGGAACCCGCCTTCAGCGACTACCCTAGCCCTGAAGATGCATAGAATGCATGTTGATGTAGTCGACTTATGGCCCACTCGTGCACAATCTCGACCAAACGCCATATCGGTACTCACCAGCTTCGGCGACGGGATACAAGGTCACACTGTACTGCTAGCATGCTGCCACTACGAATCTGATCATGGTGGCCACTAACCCCCTGACACCTGATCATGGGGTGTGGTGATGTCCCAGGGAAGCTGATCATTGGGTGGTGATGTCCCAGGGAAGCGGAAAGTGAGATCTTGACCTATCCCTACCCTGGTACCCGGATCCGTGATATGTATTATACTATGCAGGGTTCTAGCCAAAGGGGTGGGCGCCCCCCCCCCCCCCCACTCGTTTGTCGATTTTAGCGTCTTTTCATGCCATTCAACGAAAATGCAGCCTCTAGTCACTACTAGAGGGTTCACAACGGCACATTTGTGTGAGGTGAAGTCGGGGATTCGCCCCAGAACGTTGCATTTGCCTTTGGCATGGCAAGAGACTTTTAGAAAACGGAACAATGGGTTGCGGGGTAACTGTCTCCCCTGCCCCCACCCCACTATTTTTACCTGGCTTGAACCCTGCTGTGGGTACTGACCTGGTGGTGTTTCCCGTCCGCCGCCATGAAGGTGTAGAACGGTGCTTCTTGCTCTGTATTCCACTGGCGCTTGGCTCCGCTGGCTTTCATGTTGCTCATGATCCAGGAGAACGGGTACTCCTTGCCAGCAGCGTCACTGCAGTTTGCGCCGCGGAACGGAACCTTGGCAATGGCGCATACATTTGTTTTATTATCATACGTCTCGCACGGGTAGTTGTACCCGTACCAGGGCTGGCCCAGGAGGAGTTTTTCCGGGGCGATTCCGGCCGCAATGTACTTCTGTACCCCGTCGAATGTTTGCGCCACTGGCGAGTTGGACATGGCTATGCATTGCAGCGGCGGGAAGATCTGGCTGCGCTCGTCGTACGACATGATGGCCAGAAAGTCGGTGACTTCGGCCATGCCCTTGACGTCGTAGCACCGTCCGTCAATGCAGTCCGGCGACCAGGCCACGTCAGCGGTTATCTGGACGTGCGCGTTGTGGCGCAGCAGAGAATTGCGCGTTTCATTGATCAGCAGTATCAGTGCGTGGCGCTCAGGTGAGTCCGCAGCGATAGGACTCTCAACGTCAAAGTTCACGCCATCAGTGTGCTGGGTCAATGTGCGTGCTGTGATGTCATCCACCCATTTTTTCCGGTCCGCAGTGCTGGTCAAATTCGCCACAGGGAAATTGCCAGGCAGCACCACTCGCACATTGTTGGTATGAGCATGGCAGAGCATCTCGTCGGCGTCGCTGTCCCATGTTCT